GCACAGACTTAAACACAGACTCCCTCTTGCACAACTGGGGCAAGCCCCTGAGGTAGCAGCCTGTTGAAAATGACAGAGCGAGAGTGAGGCGGGCAGGGGAACCACCACAGGTGTCTGCTCTTGCCACCCCAGAATCCTGGCCAATTTGTGCCAGAGTGGAGCAAATGCCAGAAGGTCCCAGTCCCCCTGTGTGGAAGTTTTCAATTCAATTAAGCCAATTAAAGTCCGAAAGATGAAAGAGGACAGAAATGGTACATCCCCTGCCCTTTCGGTGCTATAAACCGTTCTAGGCAGCCAGCCCAGGCCGGAACATCTCTGTTCTTGGCCATTTCAGTGGTGGCTGCTGTCCTTCCTCAGACCGACAGAGGCCATTGCCCAGACTTAGGGAGAATCCAGGAAAACAAGAGCATATGCCATTTGGTCTTTCCAGCTGCCAGCGGTCAAAGGTTGACCTTGATTTAACTGATGGCTCCTCTCTGCTGCCCTCTGGCCTGTGGCGTTAAGACGAGGGAGATTAGTGCGAATGAGCACAGGCTTCGACTTGAGAAGCCCGCAGAGCTGGAGCAGGGCCCCGGCCCACGCTGAGTGGCCTGCTGGAGGTCATGGGCATCCCTGCCCTTCATCCCTGCACCGCACCCTCACAATCTCCTCTCTGAGACAGTGATTCCCCCATTCCCAAGGCTCCCAGCTCCTTGGCCAGTCAGGCCCAGGGCTGACATGCAATGGGCTTCCCAGCAACTCAATAACCACGTGTCTCAAAGAGCTGCGACCCCAAGAGCAGAAAAGACATGCTCACAGCTTGTTGCAATGTCAAGCAGAAGACAACAGGCAGCCTAGTCATGAGATTTTAGATTCAGTGTGGGCAGATAGTTTCTGGGGAACGTTCTATTGGAGTTGCCACTTGAATGCGTTGCAGGTGGAGATGGAACAGAGGGTGTGCAGGGCAGGGCACGTGCAGAGCTCAGAGCTGGTAGGCTGCTCATTGCAGCAGGACGAGCAGGGTCGTGGGCAGGCCAGTGTAGGGCGCGGCTGAGCAGGCCAGAGCTGGAAGGGCCTTTGAGGGAAGTCCTTTGAGGGAATGGGGCCTTTGGCTTGATGGGGGGTGAGGGGATTAAAACAGGGGATGTGGTTTTCTGGAGGCCAGGGCAGCGCCTCGGGGAATGTAGTAACCCACAGCTGGCTGGTGATCAGCCACCCAACTGGAAGGAGACTCCTTAGATGGTAGATGGGACATGGGACCTACTTGTTGGGGATGAGGGAGAAGGAGCAAGCCACTCAGGTGCAGGCAGGGTGCCAGGGGACATTGAAGCATGGAGGGACACAGGGCCAGCCGAGAGGGGCAAAAATGCTTTGAGCCAGGCCTCACTTCTTCACCCAGTCCCCTTATCATGAGTCACTGTGGGCCCAGTCCGCCCCAGCAAAGACAGCTCACAAGTTAGGAGCAGCTCAAGGACCTGACGTGGCTCAGTCTGGGCTGCTATTGCTTAATCAAGGGCAGGGCCATACTGGGGGGCAGGGGCAGGGATTTGGAGGGGGAGGACGGAGCTGGCCTTGGATGAACCCTGGAGGGGTGGGGGATAGGGATGCTATGCTGCTGGCTTGCAAGGTACCCTGCTCCGAGGAATAGGCATTTCCATCGAGCCGCTGGGATGCGCCCACCTAACTATGCATCATTCCCTCTGTCACCCCCGGAGCCCATCAGTGCCATGTGGCAGGAGTCGGCACTCATCCAAGTGGGTGTAGAGGCTGAAAAGATAAAAGGTTCCAAAGAAACAACATTCTTCATCTGCTTCCCTTCTAGAAAGAGCCCCTACGGAGTCCTGAGGCAGCTCCATGGGGGTCACACAGGCACACAGCTAGCCCTGGTGCCCTGGCCACATGTGGCGGGTCTCCGAATGCAGACCAGTGGCCTGCCTGCCAAGGACCTGGGTGACAGCTGAGCCCAGGAAGTGAATGCCCGCCACTCTCTTCAGCCAGTACGAGCAGGGCTGGCATGGCCTGGGGACTCTGCTCAGGGACAACTGGCTCAAGTTTATGCTGGATGCCCTGGCCACCCAGCCCCGGCCCTCACAGGACCAATTGTTCGGTCCTCTCCCAGCAGCCCTGCCTGCCTAGGACCTGGGTGACAGCTGAGCCCAGGAAGCCGACTCACAGGGCGTCTGTGGGCCCAATGCTGGCTGGAGCCTATGAATGCTTAGGTAAACCAGACCCTGCCCCTCCCTCCAGCAGCCAGCAGGCTAAGCAAAGGACCCGAGTGGGGTGGGGGGAGGAGAAGGAAGCTGGCAGGGACAAGGGCATGGGGTAGGACAGAGATGCCAGATGATGCTGTCTGCAGAGGACCAAGGAGTGCAGGTGGCAGTCAAAAGCTTCCATTGCTGTCTCCTTGGCCCGCCGAGGCCTGTGATCAAAGGCAAGAGACCTGGGTGGCCTCATGGCTCTGCCACCTCAACTCAAATGGACGAGTGATTCCTGCCGTGTCCCACCTGGGTGGGTGGGGTGCATTCCTATAGCACTCCAAAAGGAGCCCAGCCTGCCCCATGCACCACAAAAGCTTTGCTTCCTTCCAATCCCAGCGCTGTGCTGCACCCAGGCATCCTGAGCCCCATAGCCCCTGCCCTCACCCAGAATGACCCACGGAAGCTCCCGCCTTCCTCTCGAGTAGCCCTCTGATAGGTGGTGGCCCATGTCACACATGGCTCCAAGTGATCTGCAGCCCCCTTACCCCACCGACCTGTTCCATTATCTGCCTTTTTCCTGCTGTCAGAACACTCTTTTCTCCAGAAGAATGGCTCACTCCACCAACTTGCTCTGGTCTTTTCTTTTTTATTTAAACACTAGAGGCCTGGTGCAAGAAATTTGTGCATGCCCTAGGCCTGGCCGGCGATCAGGGCCCATCTGTGGGGCAATCCATGGGGCTATCAGGGGGGCCCCTGTTGGCACCCACCTTGGCTGGCCTGGGGCCTGTGGACTGCGGTCAGTTCCTGCTTTGAGTGTATGCCCCCTGGTGGTCAGTGCATGCCATAGTGACTGGTCATTCTGCCAGAAGGTCGATTTGCATATTAGGCTTTTATTATATAGGATATTCCCATTGATTTAAGAGAGGAAGGGAAAGGGAGAGATAGAAACATCAATGATGAGAGAGAATTATCAATCAGCTGCCTCCTGCATGCCCCACACAGGGGATTGAGCCCCCAACCTGGGCATGTGCCCTGATTGGGAATTGAACCATGACCTCCAGGTTCATGGTAGATGCTCAACCACTGAGCCACACCATTTGGGCTGATCTTTTCTTAAATGTGCCCCTTCCCTGACTCCTGCTCCCAACTGAAATTGCACCCCCGTCACTCTGATGCCGGTTTCTCACCAGCGGGAACTGCTATGTATCCATCTCCCAGGCAGATGGAGAGCATGGAAATGCATTCAGTCCTGTCCACCCGTCTGTCATCTTGTCCACCCTTCTGTCCCCGGCACAGGCATGTAGTAGATGCTCAGTAAAGACTTGTCAGATGGCAAACTGAATGGACGGACAATGGGGAGATGCGTGGGTGTGGAAGAGGATGGCACATTTGTGGGTATGCCACTTGGTTTCCGCATCTTCCGGCAATGAAGGCTTTTAAAACACGGGCAGCCTTTTCTGAGGCGCCTCTCTGCTTCACAGACGTCTCAGGCAAGGACTGTCCTAAGTGCACGTGCTTTTTCTTGGCAGGTGGGGCCAGCATCCGGAGGAACTGAGGCCCCACCATGTCATAAGCCCCTGAGAGCTGTGGTGCATTCACTAGGCTCTGAGTAAAGGCGGGGGCTCTCCTGAGAGCAAGCAGGCCACAGGACTACTGCGTTTCCATGGGTCGTTCTAGGTCAGAAATCTGGATTGGTGGCCAAGTTCTGCCTTCAGGAGGATCCTCAGAGGTGAGGCATGAGGCTCAGCTGAGCCATGTTGCCAGGAGGCCTCCGCTGGTGTCAAGGCCAAGGCCATGTGCACGGAGACTACTTCAGCCCTAGGAGCTTAGCACATGGCCTTGGTGGATGCTTCCACTCATGCGCAGACAGGCCGCAGGCGGGGAAGGAGAGGTAGAGGAAGATCAGCTGGAAAAGCTAGAGGCTGGGGATAGGCAGGCTCAGCAGGCCCCTGTGCTCCAAACCGCCAGACCCTGGGCAGGTGTGGGCAGAGGCGGTGGGGTATGGGGACAGTGAGAGGGATGACAACTTCATGATGCTCTGCAGAGGAGTGAAGATGATGTGGCCAAGGGTCAGCTGGCTGCTCTCAATGCAAAGGGGGTCGGGGGTGGCACTGTGGGGCAAGGCAACAGACCTGTGGCTGCTTGCTGATTTCTCCTGTGTGCCCTGTCCCCCACCCCACCCCACTTCTACTCTCTTTATCCCCTCCTTTCCACCCTCCCTTCCTTACCCGTTCCCTCTCTCCCTTACCGCTTCCTCTGGGCCTCCTCTCTTCTTTGCCCTCACTTCTCAGGTACCCACAGGGCAGCAGAGACACCCTGACCTGGCACTCAGCTGGCCTTGTCCATGGCTTGGCCTGCTCCCGGGACCCCTGAGCATCACTGAGCCTGCAACTGTGAGCTGTGAGCAGCAGAAGCTGAGCCGGGATTTATAGCATGCGGGCCCCACAGGGCGAGTCTTAATCAGGCAAGAGCTGGAGCATGATGGATTGGACTGATTCCCTGGAGGAGGGGCACGGCCATGGGAGGACTGTGGCACAGCTAACCCACCCATGCTAGGGCAAGACCCTCACTAATCAGTCCCACCCTCCCAGCTTAGGTGCTCGTGGTGAGCAGGAGTAAGGGGTGGCCCAGGCAGGTGAGCCTGGAAGAGTGTGGGGGTCACTGACCCAGCTGGAGGGAGGGGGAAGGATGTTGTACTTAGCGGTATTTAGCAAGTCATGACTTGGACTGAGTGCAGATTTGTGGAGAATGTTCTAGAAGAGTGGACCTTGGTTTTGCCTCAAGCATGCCCCTGGCTTCTTCTCCCTTCCTTCTCCCCAGGTGTCTATACTTGGCCACTTCCCTGCTGCTGCCACTTCCACTACACCTCCCCCAGGCATTGGCACCTCAGGTGGCCGCCGAGGCCACACTGAGGCTGCACCTGTGAGAAGGCCCAGCACTTTCTCCTCCCAGTGTGACAGGCAGGATGGGCGACATGGCCAACAGTTCCATCGAGTTCCACCCCAAGCCCCAGCAGCAGCGGGAGGCCCCCCATGCAGGCGGCTTTGGGTGCACGCTGGCTGAGCTGCGCTCCCTCATGGAGCTCCGAGGGGCCGAGGCTCTGCAGAAGGTCCAAGAAGCCTATGGGGACGTCAGCGGGCTGTGCAGGAGGCTGAAGACCTCGCCCACAGAGGGTAAGTCTGCCAGCAGAGACCTGGCACAGCCACCCAATGGCAGGGGACTCTGGGCATTGTGCCACCGGACACTCTAGGAATCTCCTGAGGATGTCCCCTTTCTATAGGCACTCTTTTTTAAACTACTTTTTTATTGATTTCAGAGAGAAAGGAAGGGAGAAGGAGAGAGAGAGAAACATCAATGATGAGAATCATTGATCGGCTGCCTCCTGCACTTTCCCCACTGGGGATCGAGCCTGAAACCCAGGCATGTGCCCTGACCGGGAATCTAACCCATGACCTCTTGGTTCATGGGTCAACACTCAACCACTGAGCCATGACGGCCGGGCCCTAGAGACACTCTTGACCTTGACCATGCCCTCCTCCGGTGGCCATTTCCCCTTGAGCAGGATCTGGTCTGCTATGGAGTGAGAAGGTCACCCTCTGGGCAACCTGCAGTCTTCAAGGAGCTGTGGCAGGATCCCTGCATCCGCACCTTCATAATGAGTGGCTCCCCTCTCTGGTCTCTTCTTCGGAATAATAGAAACGGAGTGACAGAAAAGGAGAAGGGAGGAGACAGCCTGCACGCATGCGGGATGACCCCTTTCAGTGTTCCAGTACCCCACGTGCTCAGCACTGTGTCCAGTTAATAGAGGCCAGACAAGGAGGAAGAGGTGTAGAGTGGGGCTCTCTGAGGGCTTGGGTTGCAGGAGGCCTCTCCCCGGCAAGGGAGGGCATGGCTTGGGGACAGTGGGGCTTGAGGGGGTGGTGCCCAGAGTGCTAAAGGAGCAAGCCAGAGTCAGCGTAGATCTGAGCAGATGTGCTACAAGGAGCCTTTGGGAGCCTTGGGTGCATCCTAGAGAAGGTTCTAAGCATGAAGGCCTGGCTGCCATTTTGGGTCCCCTCCTCTGCCCTGAGGTCCTCACCTCCTGATCTGAAGGCGATCCTCTGCCCTGCCCTTTGCCAGCCTCCCCCAGTCCTGCCTTCTGGGTCTGCCCAGAAGCCAGGACCACCAGGAGCCAGGCTGGGTCCCAGGTTCCAAGAGCTGGAGTGTTTACCTGCCCAATGGGCACCTCCCTGGCAGGGATGCTGGGCCAGTGCTGATGGACCTCACAGCTCCCCTCTCAGCCATCACATCAGTCTCCCAGGGCCCTGGCCATCGTCTGTCTCCTGCTCCCTGGTCCCATGTGTCTGTGGTGGCACATGGGCTGGCACTGGGAAGTAGAGATGGCCCACCGGGGAGGAAGCGGGCCGAGGACCAGGTGGGAGGGCGTTCACCTGACCGGGTCAGGAACTCCAAGGTGGGTGGCCTTCCCTGACTTCCTGGGTCTCCGTTGGTTTGCACTGTGAAGAGGTCCAGCCCTACACGGCGTGTCACGGGGGGCAGATGGTTTGACTCAGGGCCAGAGGTTCTCTCGCCTTCCCTCCTCCTTGCCCTCCCCCATGATCTGGGGCCATTTAGCCACAAGAGCTCTGGCCTCCCCCAGATAAAAGGAAGCAGATGGGCTTCAGCTGGCAGTTCTTTCCTCTGCCTGTCAGGCTTTGTTAAATATTTAAAATGTCAAGGCCCCTGGGAACCTGCCTGATTCTGCCCCAGCAGTTCTGGAGCGCACCCGGTGCCTGTGGAGGGGCAGGAACGGAGAAGGGCAGGTGCCCAGGTGGGTGGTCTGTGTCCCGAAGGATGAGTGGTACGACGACCACCAACCCCTCTGCTGTTCAATCCCCGGAGCCCTCAAGGTCTGGGCGCCAGGATATGGGTGACTGGCCCTCCAGCAAGTGTGGGATTCCGGAACACCTGCTGACTTAGTCCCCCAGTTCTCAGCCAGACCCCCACTCACTCTTGCTCGGTCACAGTGGACTGAACCTGTCTGAGGGGCCAGCTTAGCTGTGCCCCAGGCCCTACACCAAACCCCCACGAAGGTGGGCAGACTGGGATGCTGGCAGAGAGGTGCTTTGGGAAGAGTGGGGAGGTGTAGGGTGTATTGCAGGAGGGCAATTTTAGCAAGCCAGGAGAATTCCAGAAGCCAAGGAACTGGGTCTTAGGCCAAGCTCAGTAGTAGGCCTGCTTGGGAGACCTGGGTCCTGGCCCTTCCCCTGTCTGGCCTCCACCAGCAATCATGGGAAGGAGGGGGCGGATTAGCCTGGAGCCACACGATGTGGTCTTAATCCAATTCCAATGGCATCTGGCCTCTGCTCTGGGCAAGGCGCCCAACTGTGTCCATGCCAACCGGCGGCCCCTGTCCCCGAACCCTGGACCTGGGCCGCCCTCGGGGGCCTGCTAGGCCAGGGCATGCTTGGAACCAGAGGGGCTGCAGCTGCCTCCCCACCCCGTGACTGCTTCAGCTGTCAGGACCCCTGAGCCCACAGGAAGATCAAGGCCTCCAGCTGGTCTAGGGCAAGGGCGAGAGAAGCATTGCTGCAGTATCAAGGGCAAACCAAGGCCAAGGGACAGGCTGAGAGGGAAGGAGGGAGGAAGGGAGGGAGGAAGGCAAGGAGGGAGGGAGGGAGCTCCTGGGGACGAGGCCCCCTGAGGGCCCAGCTTCTCTCGGGGACAAGCTGGGTTTGTGGGGCGAGGCTGGCGGGATGTAGATCCATGTGGCGCCACAGGCGATAAGCTCTGGGTGGGGGGTTGTCCCTCTCACGGGCTTCTGATCCATGTCCTTTCCTCGAGCAGGGGGAGGGGAGACCCTGGGTGTGTGTCTGAGAGACCCGGGGTTCAGTTCAAATGCCTCCCTGGCCCTGACCACACCTTTTCTATCTCCTGTGGCTCAAGGACACAGGCCCTGGGCAGGAATGGGGCAGAGGCCCTCAAGTGGGTCCCCAGCCCTTAGGAGCTGAGGTCTTGAGCTTCTCCCAGACACCCAACTGGGAAGCTGCAGACTCCAGAAACTTGAGCCACAGCTGGCCCGGCACGATGAGGCCAGGGGGAGAAGGGCAGGGACAGCTGCGGCTCTGCTGGGTGGGGAGGAAAGCATGTGGTCACCGCCTCACTCAGGAGACGTGCCAAGCCTGTGCCGGCTGTGGGCTTTCGCCTTATCAGTCCTTCCACCCCAAGGGGCCCCCCACTGCTCATCCCCAGAAGCCTTCTCTCCCTGCCCAGGGCACACCCACCCTACTCCTTCCCCATTCCTTCGGCATCACACTTAGCACTTCCTGGTCCTCAAGTCCTGTGGGGCCTGGACTTATTTGCCTTCCCAAGCTGGCTGGGAACACCCCATGGACTGGGACCTGGCCTTTCTGGGCCTCCCCTGTCCCTGACAGAGACGCTGGGAGTGGCTGCTACTGCAAGTCACCAGCTGTCCACCAGGTGTCAGTGTGGGCCTGGCACTGGGGGAAGAGACTAGAGAGGCTGGGGGACAAGGGCAGGGGTGGGCACAGGAGCACGAGGGATAGATGAGCCTGGGAGGAAGGCGAATCTTGAGGGCTGAGGGTGGGGCCAGAGGACTTCCGTCATCCCATCTGCCTGCCCCTGGGGACAATGGCCAAGTGGGTGTCTGGCCTTGGGAGGCAGTGGCCTGGATGCCAGTCCCACATGGAAACTTTGGATACTTCCAGGCATGAGCCTGAGGCAGACACCCAGGGGTCTCTGGACAGGCCCGGGCAGGAAGTGGGGTTTCCCAGGAAGAGAAGTAGGCGTCCAGCTTCCAGATGCCAGGCTAGTAGCCCCTTTGTAGCCCTTAATTCTCAGCCTCTGCATTGACCAGGCCCACTCTCCCTCCCTGCCCACACAGCAGCTTGTCCAGGGTGTGGAGGCGCCTCCTAGGGTTCTAGTACCATTGGCTCGGGCCCCTCTCAACTTGTCAGCCCTGTCATAGTGTCTCGTCTGCTCAGACCACAGGGGCCCTGTTTCCCCAGCCTTCACCCTCCTTGTCCTCTGCCTAGTGGCCCAAGAACACCATGGAGTGAATGAGAACCATTGACAAGCCCATTAGCCTTAGAGACATTCGCAACTGCCTAGCGTGCAGATGCAGTGGGGGTCCTGTCCTGCCCTCCTTGTGACCCCCCCCCCCCCAGCTCAGGGATGGAGGCTGGCGCTGCTATGGGGTCTGGAAAAGGCATTGGGAAGCCCGGCCAATGTTGCTCAGTGGTTGAACGTCAATCTGTGAACCAGGAAGTCACTGTTTGATTCCCAGTTAGGGTACATGCCTGGGTTGCAGGCTTGATCCCCAGTGGGGGGCGTCAATGATTCACTCTCATCACTGATGTTTCTCTCTCTCTCTCTCTCTCTCTCTCTCTCTCTCTCTCTCTCTCTCTCTCTCCCTCCCTCCCTCCCTCCCTCCCTCCCTCCCTCCCTCTGAAAACAATTATAGACAGAGAGAGAGAGAGACTGGCATTAGGAAGGAAGCAGCTGCCTCTGGAGGGCAGGCCATGAGAGCATGGGGTTGGGAGGAGTCTCTGTACCCCACCCAGACATGGGTGCCAGGCCCTTGCTCAATGGTATGAGCAAGACTGACAAGATCCCATCATAGTCTCTAGACCTCCCCGGGCACCACAGGAGGATGGCCCAGCCCTTCCACATGCTTCCACATGCTAGGGGCTCCGCATTGTCTAGTGGCTACATGCCCATGCTACCCAGGCAGCTGGGCACTCCCACATACATGCTCCCACATACATTCTCCCACATACATGCCAAGCCAGTGCAGTTTCCACTTTCTGGTGCCTTCGATCTGGAAGGAGAGACAGGCTTGCCAGGGAGCAGGGGGAGAAGGAGCAGGGACACGTGGGGCAGGGCTGCCGGCCACCTTCCCATCATGCTCTGCCTCTGCTCTCCTGTGTAGGCCTTGCCGACAACGCCAATGACTTGGAGAAGCGCAGGCAGATCTATGGCCAGAACTTCATCCCTCCCAAGCAGCCCAAGACCTTCCTGCAGCTGGTGTGGGAGGCCCTGCAGGATGTCACCCTCATCATCCTGGAGGTGGCTGCCATCGTGTCCCTGGGCCTCTCGTTCTATGCACCCCCCGGAGAGGAGAGCGAAGGTGAGGCAAGGGCCCAGAGGGGAGGGGAGGGGGGCCCCGGCAGGAAAGGGCAGGACCAGGACAGCAGCACAGGACAACGGATGGCAGGGAGGGGGGAGGATGGAACCTGAAATGAGGGGCGAGGTCATAGGTTGTCCCCACTCCAGCAGCAGGAAGGAGCTGGCTGGGGCAACCCTCTGCCACCTCTGCACTCTCCTCTGTCGCCCTACATAGCGTGCGGGAATGTGTCGGCTGGGGCAGAAGATGAAGGGGAGGCCGAGGCTGGCTGGATCGAGGGGGCAGCTATCTTGCTGTCTGTCATCTGCGTGGTGCTGGTCACGGCCTTCAATGATTGGAGCAAGGAGAAGCAGTTCCGAGGCCTGCAGAGCCGTATTGAGCAGGAACAGAAGTTCACGGTCATCCGGAACGGGCAGCTCCTCCAAGTCCCCGTGGCCGCGCTGGTGGTGGGGGACATCGCCCAGGTCAAGTATGGTGAGTGTGCCTGCCATCGCTCACTCTGCAAAAGAAAGCTCAGCTCTCATTTTGGGGATAGTGTGAGCTGGAGGAGACCGCCCCCACCCCCTAGGCCCCCATTGCAGACCTCCTCAGGAGCACATGGGCCTCAGCTGTGGGAGGCTGGAGGTGGGGATTGTGGGCAGAAGGCCCCAGGAAACAGGCTGTCCCCACGGCCTGCCAAGGGCTACCTGGGACCCAGACCACAGGGCTTGGGGTAGGTGGGACCCCAGAAAGGAGGAGGCTGGAGGAAGAGGGCTCTGCATCCGAGGCAGGAGGCAGCAGGGTGGAAGGCCGCCTAGACCCATAGCCTGTGGTTCTGGCTGCCTGGCCGGCCTTAGGAGACCTGCTGCCTGCCGACGGCGTGCTCATCCAAGGCAATGACCTCAAAATCGACGAGAGCTCCCTGACCGGAGAGTCCGACCACGTGCGCAAGTCAGCTGACAAAGACCCCATGCTGCTTTCAGGTGAGGCCTCAGGCCACCAGCCCAGCCTGGGGGAGCTGGGAGGTCACTGGCCACCAGCACCCAGGAGCCTTGGAAGCCTTCAACCCCCACAACCAGCCCCTCTGAGTAGCCCTTCTGGTTAGGGAAGCTAAAGACTTCACCCCCCTCAAGGCCAGAGCAGCCTGTGGGGGGCGTGGTGGTGGCGCTCTGGCCCCAGGGAAGGGCATGGGTCTTTCCAACCCCGGAGGAACAGGATGTCTTGAAGGAAGCCCCAAGAGGTGGGGGCTGACTCTGGGTCATCACAGTGCCGTGCTCTAAGCCAGACCCCCAAGAATATCCAGTGAGGACAGGGTTCCCTTTCCAGAAGGTTCTGTCTTAGCCCAGGGTTTATCTCAGTGGCAAATGCAGTCCACAACAGGATGGAGAGGCTGGAAATGGGTCTTGCAAGCGGCTCACCCCGGGCCTGTGGGACAGAAGCTGCTCCAAGCCAGGGAAGATGTTTTGGTCTAGACTTAGGGTCAACACAACCTTCAGGGGCCTCCAGACGCTGAGTCCTGCTTCTGGGATTCCGGGACAGAACGTGTAGGTGCTGAGCATGCCTCCCATCCGGTGGTGCGAATCTCTGTCTCGGTCTCTCTGTGTTGGCTGTGCCAGGCACTCATGTCATGGAAGGTTCTGGAAGAATGGTGGTGACAGCTGTGGGTGTGAACTCCCAGACAGGCATCATCTTTACCTTGCTTGGAGCTGGCGGAGAGGAGGAGGAGAAGAAGGATAAGAAAGGTAAGGTCATGCAGGCCTCCAGTTCCCAGCGCCCATGAGGGGCTGGCCCCCCTTCTACGTAGCTCGCTCGCTCTTCTTTGCCTGCTGCTGGCGGTTCCCCGCTAGCCCATCCCTGGCTCCAGCTCTGGCTCTGGCTCTGGCTCTGGCTCTGGGAGAGACAGCCATACCCTCTCTTCTGATTTCTTTGGGGATCCTCTCTTCTGGGGCCTTTGCCCCAAAGCCAGCAGGTCAACCCCTCCCCCCAATTCTGTGTAAGAGCAGCTTCCTTCAGATGGCGGTTCCCCAAAGGCATGAGGACATGTGTGCCAGGGTGGGGGAGTGCCCTGCTTGGTAGGAATGGGGTCAGAGTGACAAGATCTTAAGAGAATGCTGCCCACCCTCAGGGGTGCCCAATTACCATAGTAAAGTGCTGAGGGTCCCAGGCCAACATGGAAGCCAGGAAAGGCAGGCCAAGGGGGAGGACTCCCATGCAGAAAGCACCCTCCCCCAAAGGATGCCCAGGTCGAGGAAGCTAGATGGGCAGGGGTCCTCCCCGCAAGAGAAAGCAGCGTTAGGGGACAAATGTCTTCTGAGAAGCCAGCTCTGTAGCCACCGTGGCCTCCCTGCTGCCTCCTCTTGCCTCTGCTCTGAGCCCCAGGCATGGCCAGTGTCCCCTCCAGTCCTCAAACAGGGCTCACAGCTGCCCTCAGCATCCACCCCCCTGTCTTGGTCCCGCGGGTCCAGATCCTATTTTCTTCCATGACACAGGTCTTCACCTGCTCATGACTCTCAGTGCTGACCTGGGTCTCCTGGTCCTGGGGTCAAAGCAGGTGGGGCACAGAGTTTTCTAGATGTGCCTCACCCCTGAGGGATCTACCAGGGCCTCTACCGGAAGATGGCCCTGCCCCATACACATGAAGAGAGCTCTCACTGCAAGCCTGCAGCCAGGGCCCCAGTCAGTGAGATGCTGGGGCTGGTGAGCTGGGCATGGATGTAGGGCCAGCAGTACTGGCCTTACCTCAGTCACTCAAGGCCACTGTGCCTAAAGAGCAGGTGGGATCGGTGTGCCCAGCCCCAGCATTACGGGGACAGTTCAGCACAAGGAAGGACGTGTTAGTGTCCCCAGCCCTTGGCCACCCTGCTCCTGGAGGTGGTGAGAGAGGAGATGGATGAACTGCCATTGTCTGGAAGCTTTCATGGGCTCCGCCTCCTGGCATTTTCCAGCTCCTGGCTGGCCAGGCCCACCCCTCACAACCATCTGGCACCCGTGGACCTTCTTCCGTCTTTGCCTGATGGTCCTTCATCAACACCCTGGTGGTAGTTAATAGGGCACTCTTCTTCCTAGGCCCCCTCTCGTTTGACCTTGACAGAACCCCTCCAGCAACCCCCCAGGTCCCTCCTTGCCCTTCTCCAGCACCCCAGGCTGGGCTACTTAAGAGGAAGAGGGGGCATCTCCACTAGCCAGCTTCCTGAAGAAGGGGGATTCTGAGGGGGGCCTGGAGAGGGAGCAGAGCTGGCCAGGCTCAGGGGAAGGGTAGCAGCACCCAAGAGCCCTCGCTGACATCTCAGCCCAAGGACCACTGTGGAGACAGGGAAGTGGCCACGCCCAGCGCCTCCCCCTGGCCCTTGCTGCATCCTGAACGCTCTGCTCCCTGCCCACTTGCTGTCTCCCCACCTGTTTCTTACCTGTTGGTCTTCATTCCTAGCTACCCTTCTCCTCGAGTGCCCTCCTCCCCTTCCTCCTCCCCTCCTTAGGCTTCTGTTCCTCCTAGGCTGAGCTCAGTCTGCCTCTTCCTGCAGCCCTCACCCCAAACTATCCTCCCTCCTTCAAGGGCCTCCCTGGGCCCTGTCTGCAACCTGGGACCTCTGGGGCCCTTCCCTCTCCACCTCCCCCTCCCCGGGCTTCCAACAACACTCCTTCATTGTGCTGCCTTGTCACCACATGTCTACAGATGTCTCTCCTCTACCCAGAAGTCTCCACCTCTGAACCCCTGCACCCCCTCAGGGGTCCCAGGCAGAGAGGATCCAACCCACACTCCATCCTGCCCCGCAAGGGGTCTCTCCCTCCTTCCTGGGGCCCCCAGACAAGACCCTACTACCTGGGAGTCATCTGGGGGGCCCTGCGTAGAAGGGGGGCCCTGTGTTCATGGATCCCCAGCCCATGAACAGGTCAGTCCATAAGCCACTTCCACCCCAGGTTAGGTCATCTCTGAATCCAGCCAGCTCACATGTGGCCTCCAGGGGGCGCTGTGGTACAGAGCCCTGCCCCAAGCACAAGGCCAGGCTCCCTCCCTCTCCTGTCAGATCTCCTGTGCCTCAGTCCAGAGCCGCAGCCATTGGAAACCGAGTGCTGGTTACCTTGACCTTGGGAATCTGTCACTACACAGCCTCTGGCACCCAGGATCAGGCTTTATGGTCACAGAGCAGCTTCAGAGAGCTCCTGCATTGGTGTCAGAGTAGATGGCTACAGGGACTACAGAGGAAGCAGGCTGGGTCCTTTCCCTCGGGTGCACCCACAACCTGAGCCCCCCACTTGGGGTCCAGCCCATTCCATGCCCTAGCTGCTCCCTCCAGCAATAAGGGCCCAGTGCCCAGACTGGCACCTGATCCTGGAAAATGCCTAGGGTTTCCTTTGTCCTCAAAGTACACATAGCCCAGCCCAACATAGCTCAGTGGTTGAGTATCGACCCTATGAACCAGGAGGTCATGGTTTGATTCCCAGTCAGGTCATATGCCCGATTTTGACCTTGATCCCCAGTGGGGGGCATGCAGGAAGCAGCCAATCAATGATTCTCTCATCATTGATGTTTCTCTCTCTCTCCCTCTCAACAAATATATATATTACACATAGACTTGACTGCAAGCCAAGGTGCAGAGGAAATGGATATGCAGGCCACCAGGGATTAGTAGCCGCCTAGACTCTAGCTAACCTCCTCGTGCTGAGTCTGGGAGCTGCATATTTTTACTGGGGGGCCCTGCTCAAGGTGGCAGAGCTGGGACCAGATACCTGACAGCACTCACGCCCCATGGTGACAGCCCTTCCAGAAACCTACTGCCAGCCACACATGACCCAGGGTCCACTGAGAGCTAGCGTAGGGCTCCCTGGAGGGCTGGGGGTAGGGGGTGTCAAGGCCAGTGAGGAGCCCTGGCTAGGGGTTTCACTCATGAAGCCCAAATGCTTGCAGCGCCCATGTGCCATGTGCTGAGAGGTGGCGAGAGGGCACCACGTGAGCCTGGAGAGGACAAGGGCCCTCCTCCCTCTCCTGCCTTCCCCTGTGCTCGCCGCTGGACTGTGCACCCTGCTGTCCTGTGTGCATGTGCGTGTGCCAGGGCCATGTGGATGTTCTCAAGTCTCCGTGTCTGTCGTTCCTTTTCCATTGTAGGCAAGCAGCAGGATGGGGCGATGGAGAGTAGCCAGACCAAAGGTAACGCGCGCCCTGCGCTCAGGATGGGGTGGCGGACGGAGGGCACGACTCGGGGTGGGGGGCTGCCCACCTCAAGTTGCAGGAGAAGCACCTGGACACCAGGTGAGTGGGGCAGGGCGGCCCTCTGCAGGCCCCGCCAAGAGTGTGCAAGGATCACCTGGGAGCTGGCATTCTGGTGAGGAAACTGAGGCTCAGACAGGGTAACTTGCCCAAAGCCTGAGCCAGGCCCTTGGGTTTCCCAGTTCAGCTGCCATCCAAGGGGCCGAGGCCCACTCTCCTCTCAGCCCACATGCTGGTTGGGAGCCGAGCCTCCATGGCCAGGATGAAGGCTTATCAGTGGTCATTTGTAGGCACTGGGGACCCAAAGGTGGATAAAGCACCGCCCCAGTCCTCAGGAAGGTCACTATCCAGATAGAGGGACCAGGAGCCTGGCCAGTGTTGCTCAATGGTTGAGCATCGACCCATGAACCAGAAGGTCATTGGTTTGATTCCTAGTCAGGGCACATGCCTGGGTTGTGGGTTGATCCCCAGTGTGGGGCGTGCAGGAGGCAGCCAATCAATGATCCTCATCCTTGATGTTTCTAGCTCTGTCTCCCTCTCCCTTCCTCTCTGAAATCAATTAAAAAAATATTAAAAATGCAGCGTGGGACCCAGGGACCAAGACATTTTGGACAGGGTGACAGCCTGATGACTAGGGTCCAGGGAGGGACTGGGGCAGGGAGTGACAGTCAGTGGGGTACAAGGTTATAGTGGCCTAGCTGGGCGGGGCCTTGAGTGCTGCTGAGGCCACGAGCTCTGGCCTGAGGCTCAGGAAAGAAGAGGCCACGGCTGAGTGGTCTCGGGCAGCCAAGGAAGAAGGAATGAGTGGGAAGACCAGAAGCAACAAGGAGCATCTGACACAGAGAAGTGGCAGGAGGTGTTCAGAGGCCGTGTCAGGAGCACTCAGAGCCCCATTGAGTGGGGACGAGAGCAGTGAAGTGGGAAGATGAGTGGCAGGGTTGGGTGCCCCCTTCAGGTCACTTGAGGCAGTGCAGTTGGAGACCCTCAGGGCACAGAGTGTGTGAGGCCATAGAGGTGATGGAGGCAGGGTAGGGGACATAACACCACCATCGCTACATCAAGGGCAGCAGGGCCACTGGAGGAGCCACGAGGGGGCCGCCTGTTCCAGAGAGAAGGCAGGGAGGTGGCTGGAGGAGAGGAACAAAAGAGTAGTTCCAGCCCTAACAGGTTTGGTTCAGTGGTTAGAGTGTCGGCCCATGGACTGAAAGGTCCCAGGTTCGATTCCGGTCAAGGGCATGTACCTTGGTTGCGGGCACATCCCCAGTGGTGGATGCATAGGAGGCAGCTGGTTGATGTTTCTCTCTTATCGATGTTTCTAACTCTCTATCCCTCTTCCATCCTCTCTGTAAAAAAAAATCAATAAAATGTATATATTTTAAAAAGAGTAGTTCCATGGAGAGAGGGGTAGAAGGTCCAAGGCCCAGGACAACAGCCTCTGGCAATGAGGGAGCGGGTTGAGAACACTTGAGGTAGTCTGAGTCCTTTTTAGAATATGGGGGGGTGGGGGAGGCAAGAAAAGGAACAGCCTGAGCAGGGAGCAGAAGAAGAGCATACAGGGGCTTCTGGGCACCCCTGAGCAGAGTGGGGCTTGGACACCGATGGGCCAATGAGTCAGTCATCTCAGGGTTCTGGAATGTTCCTTGGACCCCAGGCCTCTGTTCTCAGGCACTGAGATTTGGAGTGTTACAGGACTTGCCCCCCTGTCTGTGTGCCCAAGTCACTTGTGCTTGTGTCTGTCCTCCCTCCCCTGTGAGGCCTCAAGAGAACCATCTCCATCCCAGCCAGGAGGGCCTGGGCTGCCCAGGACCGAGGAGGGAGAGGACCAAGCCCCATGCCGAGTCGCACTCAGAAATCGGAGAACTCTCCACCCACCCCCACCCCGATCCTGTGTTCTCTGGTCTGGTGTGGCATGTCTTTCATTGTGAAAGCCCCCTGTAGCTGTCACCCCAGCAGCCAGGCCCTAACCTTGGCTGTGGGGTTCTTCTGTGTACAGCCAAGAAGCAAGATGGGGCAGTTGCCATGGAAATGCAGCCGCTGAAGAGCGCGGAGGGCGGGGAGATGGAGGAGCGGGAGAAGAAGAAGGCCAGTGTGCCCAAGAAGGAGAAGTCGGTCCTGCAGGGCAAGCTCACCAAACTGGCCGTGCAGATCGGAAAAGCAGGTGGGGGCTGCAGAGCCGTGGCCCGGGGCCCCCTCGGGTGAGGAGGACACCAGGGCCATGGGGAGCAAGTGGGAAACGGATATAGCAGGTGAGGTGAGCCAGACAGCAGGGGGACAGGCCAGGGGGGTGATGGCCATCAGATGCTAAACTCGCCATAAGGCCTAAGGCAGGGAGCATCTCCCCGAACTCAGCTCAGCTCAGGTTGGCATCAGCTGCAGCATCCTTCACCCCCTCCCTTTTGCTCTCTCCCTTTCCTGCCCCTCCCTGCCAATCCCCTCTGTTTCCTCTTGTGGCCCTGCAGGGCTGGTGATGTCCGCCATCACCGTCATCATCCTGGTCCTCTACTTCGTGATTGAGACCTTCGTGGTGAAAGGCAAGGTGTGGCAGGCCGAGTGCACGCCGGTCTACGTGCAGTACTTCGTCAAGTTCTTCATCATTGGTGTCACTGTGCTGGTTGTGGCCGTCCCAGAGGGCCTGCCTCTTGCTGTCACCATCTCCTTAGCTTACTCTGTCAAGGTAATCATACGAAACACGATCATTGAACTAAGAACCCTGTGAGACCAGGATACAAACCCGAAACTGGGCTGTGAAGCCGGTAAGCACGCTGGACACAGGGAGGACTGGAGAAAGTTTGGGATCCATTGCTCAGGGGCGGAGCGGGGAGGCTAAGCTGGGACCTGGAGCGGAACTTGGCCATCCTTCCCCACCCAGCTTCCTGGGTGCAATCACACGAGCCAGGAAGCAGGTGAGCAGTGGGATAGATTTGGCATCTACAGGGTGAGAGCAGGGGGCACAGAGGGGCCAGAGAGTAGACGGGACTGGTGCCACTTGCAAAAGTGGAGGTGAAGGAGGGGGGTGATCAGGAGAGATCCCACTGGGAGACAGTGGGTGGCGCAGGGCAGAGATTGGGGAAAGCTTCAGGGCCAGCACATGACTTGAGAGGGCATGTGGGCAGAGGTGTAGTCCTGGGCAGCGGGGAGGCCCCGGGTAAGCTCTGGGGAGAGCAGCTGCCAGAGCCAGCCTCTCAGCCTCCCTGATAGGGTCCTTAGGCCACACCGTAGGTCTGACCGCCACCCTGCAGCTACTGCAAGTTGTGCCTTGGGCACTGCTGTCAGCCTCCAGTGTGTTAGTGCCACGTGGAAAGCTGATGGGCCAGAGCAGGGTCACCCAGGATGTCCGTGCCCTTTCCAGAAAATGATGAAGGACAACAATCTGGTCCGACACCTGGACGCCTGTGAGACGATGGGCAACGCCACAGCCATCTGCTCGGACAAGACGGGCACACTCACCACCAACCGTATGACCGTGGTCCAGTCCTACCTCGGGGACACCCACTACAAAGAGATTCCGGCCCCCAGCGCCCTGACCCCCAAGATCCTCGACCTCCTGGTCCACGCCATCTCCATCAACAGTGCCTACACCAGCAAAATACTAGTGAGCCAAGAGCGGGGCTGGGATGAGACAAGGGGTCCGGGGCTCACTGTGCTCTCTGGAACACTTTTAAAAAAAAATGATTTCAGAGAGGAAGGGAGGGAGGGAGAGAGAGAGAGAGAGAAATATCAATGATGAGAGAAAATCATGGATCGGCTGCCTCCTGCACGCCTCCCTACTGGGGATCGAGCTTGCAACCCGGACATGTGCCCTTGACTGGGAATTGAACTAGGACCTCCTGGTTCATGGGTCGATGCTCAACCACTGAGCCACACCGGCCAGGCTTTTGAGCTACAATAATCTCTGGGGTGGTGGTCACCTTTCCTTCATCCCTGGCCCCAGTACTTCCGCCCTCGCTGCTTGTTTTGGAAACCCCTTCCAAGCCCAGTGAGTGGTGTGAAACCTGCCCATCTAGTCCACCCCAAAGGCACTCTTCTGGCTCTCTGCCACCACACCCTAAAGACGTGACCATGGCTGCCCTGGGGCCCCAGGGGGAGCAAGGAGGGTGGCCATGGGCCTCCAGTGCCATGCTGCTTTGCCTCTCCTCACAGCCTCCAGAGAAGGAAGGTGCCCTCCCGCGCCAAGTGGGCAACAAGACGGAATGCGCTCTGCTGGGCTTCGTCCTGGACCTGAAGCGGGACTTCCAGCCTGTGCGGGAACGGATTCCGGAAGACAAGCTTTACAAAGTGTACACCTTCAACTCGGTCCGCAAGTCCATGAGCACGGTCATCTGCATGCCGGACGGTGGCTTTCGCCTCTTCAGCAAGGGCGCTTCCGAGATCCTGCTGAAAAAGTGAGGGGGAAAAATAAAAAATTAAATTAAAAAGTGAGGGGGCTGCGGAAGCAAGCCCAAGGCTGGGGGCACCAGAGGCTGGGGCCAGCTGAAACATACAAGCATTCTGGTATCACTGTTGTGCTGAAATACATTGAGTGGCCACATTACTATGATCTCTGAACGCATAATAATCTGGCCACTCAGTGTATATCCTATGTAATAAAAGGCTAATATGCAAATTGTCCCCTTAACCAGGAGTTCGACCAGTAGGCAGCCATGTCCCCTCCCCCTGGCCAGGCTGGCTAGACCTCACCCATGCATGAATTTATGCACTGGGTCTCTAACATCTTATCTAATAAAGAGAGAATATGCAAATTGACCATCACGCCATGAAAAAGATGGCAGTGCCCATAGCCACAAGATGGCGGCACCCAATCCCCTCAGCCCTGCCAGAGTCCTCCAGTCCTTTCAGCCCTGTGGGGAGGTGGGGAGGATGGCAGGCACACAGTGTGTCTGGACTCGCCCTCAGCCCCCCACCACCCAGGGCCAGCCTGTGGCACAGGCAAGCCTCGGATGGTAACTGCCCAGCTGCCCAGGGCTGCCTGAGGATCAGGTAACCAGAGCCAGCCAAGGCTTGTGCTGCCAGCAGTGGCAGCAACAGAGGCATGATGGGGCATCACCTTCCTCTGATCAGTGGGTTGCCTCCCACCCCTGAGGGCTCCCAGATTGTGAGAGGGGGCAGGCTGGGCTGAGGGTTGATGCTCAACCACGGAGCCACCTTCTAAGATGAGATCTTTCTGTGACTCTGTGCACATAGCCAGCCTTCCAGGGCCTTCAGGATGTAGTCCTCAGGAGGACGTCCGGGGCTCCCAGAACCTGTAGGACGACCAAGAGCCCCCCCCCCCCCCACACACACACACACTGGCTGTGTCCTGACCTCTGCTGACCACTACCCCACCCAAAATGCTCTCCCCAAAACTTTCCCCATGCACAGCCTCACCAGTATGGTTCAAAGGCCACCTCCTCCCTGAACTCATCCCATCTGGGTCCTACTGAGTGTAACAGCTGGATTTGGAGAAGTACTGAAGAGGGCTGTAGTTGGGCACTGGGTTGTGTGAACATGAACTAGTTACTCCCCCACCTGAGGCCTTGGTTTCATGGAGATAACAGGAATACTTACCTCCTGGGAGTGTTGAGAGAATTACAAGAGTGAATCCGTGCCAGCTTTTGCTGTGATCATGGCTCCCCCGGGCCTCCTCAGCCAGTTCCTCTCTTTCACCCCTCCTCCGGAACGCCTGCCTCTTGGCCCGTGGCTCCACTGCTCCTTCCTCTTCTACACCTGAATTCTACCAGCTCTTCCCATCTTGGCCCTCTGAGAAGCTTCATCAGAGCTCGTCCCGAGGTTGCTGCCTTGTCATGGCCCACTACCTGGCATTCAGTTTTGGCCAATGTGCCACACTCCTGTTATGTGAGGGGCTGTGATGAGCCTTGCGCTCTGGCCTCCCAGGGGTCTCCTAGCTTACATTCAGCCCCTGGGGCCGCCAGAACAAAAGACCATAATCCTGATTGCTTAAGACAACAGAAATCTATTCTATCCCTGTTCTAGAAACCTGAAGTCTGAAACCAAGATGTGGATAGGGCTATGCTCCCTTTCAGCACCTCCAGGGAAGGGTCCTTTTTGTGTCTCCCAGCTTCGGCTGTCACTGACAGTCCTTGTCATTCCTTGACTTGTAGATGCATCACTCCAGTCTCTGCCTCTGTCATCACATGGTTTTGTTCCCATGTGGGTCTCTCTCTCTGTGTCCTCCTCTGTTCTGTGTGTGTGTGTGTGTGTGTGTGTGTGTGTGTCTGTGTGTGTGTCTGTGTGTGTGTCTGTGTGTGTGTGTGTGTGTGTGTGTGTTAATCCTCACTCAAAGTGTGAGTTTTTTTCCCCACTGATTTTTAAGGAGAGTGGAAGGAGAAAGAGAGAAAGGAGAGAAACATCGATATGAGAGAGACACATTAATCGGTTGCCTCCCACATATGCCCGGACCACCCCAGGGGCTGGGATCGAACTTGCAACCAAGGTATATGCCCTTGACCAGAATTTAAGCCCACAATCCTCCAGTGCTCAGGCCAACATTCTAACAGTTGAGCCACACCGGCCAGGGTTTTTATTAGGACACCAGTCATTGCACTGAGGGTCTACCCTAATCCAGTGTCACCTCAGCTTTGCAACCAACCTATTTCTAAATGAAGTCCCATTCTGGGGTTCTGGGAAGAACATGAATTTGGGGGGACACACTATTCGGCCCCACACAAGCAGAGGGCCTCCCTCCTTAGAGAGATCTCTGCTGAATCGGATGGAGGCTCAGACTGACGCCCACCCAGACTCTCATCGCCCCTTGCTCTGTCTCTGCCGCAGGTGCACCAACATCTTAAACAGCAACGGGGAACTGCGCAGCTTCCGCCCCAGGGACCGGGACGACATGGTGAAGAAGATCATCGAGCCAATGGCTTGTGATGGCCTCCGCACCATCTGCATTGCCTACCGGGACTTCTCTGCTGCTCAGGAGCCGGACTGGGAAAATGAGAATGAAGTTGTGGGCGACCTCACCTGCATAGCCATCGTGGGCATCGAGGACCCCGTGCGGCCCGAGGTAGCCATGCTCTCCTCTGGGATAGGCCCAGAGGATGGGGGTCAGGGGAGGGGCAGCCCTTCTTCCCATTTGGCCCCCAGGGTGTGGCCTTTGGACCTAAATGGAAGGAGAGAACACTCTCTTTCTGCTGCCTTTCGGGCTGTCACACCCCTTCCTGCCAGAGTTAGAGGTAGAGCAAACTGGTCGCCCCCAGGAGTCCAGAAAGGTGGGTGACGACAGAGCCTAGGTCCTCCAAGGGCACAGCCAACACACCCCAGATCAGAGCCTCTACGGCGCACTTGACCTCTCACTCTGCACCCATAGGGGGCTCTGTCCTGCCTGCTGGAAGGTCCCTCCTGCTTGGCCTCCACGCTTCACTCAGGCTCTGTCTCCACCAGGTGAGAGAGGGTGGCAGCTAGAACTTCGACAGCCGTGACACCCACAGGACTGGTGTGTGTCACCCCTGACTTCCTGGGAGGTGCCTACAGTACAGTGGCAGCTCTAGACTTTTCCTCCCAGCTCTCTGGGGCTGTATGACACTGCCAGAAGCTGGAGTGCCTTTGAGTGCATCACACAACCAGGAAAATGACATTTCTTGACTACCAGGACCCTGGCCAAGGCCATAACCAGCCCACCCTCCCCTTCCTCCTCAGCCACTTCCCCAGATGAAGGGATGTGAGTGTGAAACAGCTCTTGGCCACAAAGAACAAGGAGCTCTTCTGGCCTGGTTCCCTGGCCCAAGGAGCCCTGAGTTCTGGTAGAAATATTTGTTGATCAAACTGAAGCTGAGTCATAGATGTGAGGCTGGAGACCTTAGGTGTATTTGCAGATCTTCAGGTCCGAGTTGGCTTGTTGACAGAAGCACCAATGAGTCTACCATAAGGGGAGACGGGGGCACATGGAGCTGCCCTGAGCGGCTGCTCATGAGTGGGGTGAGGCCCGGCTCTGCCCCTGTTCAGTATCTTTCTCAGAGTGGGATGTTATTATTGTGGTAAATTTTCATCTTAGAAAATCCGGAACCCAGGCATACGTGCCTTGAAGGGTACAATGAAGGCCCAGCTGTAGCAGCTGCCAGTGATGGTTGCTTGTTTATTTTTTTATTTTTATTTTTTAATATATTTTATTGATTTTTTACAGAAAGGAGGGAGAGAGATAGAAACATCAATGAGAGAGAAACATCGACCAGCTGCCTCCTGCACATCCCCCATTGGGGATGTGCCCACAACCAAGGTGCATGCCCTTGACTGGAATCAAACCTGGGACCCTTCAGTCGGCAGGCTGATATTCTATCCACTGAGCCAAACTGGTTAGGGCGATGGCTGCTTGTTTAAATTCCAGAAGCGACCTTAGCCAGTTTGGCTCAGTGGATGGAGCACTGGCCTGAGGACTGAAGGGTCCCGGGTTTGATACCAGTCAAGGGCACATACCTTGGTTGCAGGCTCAATCCCTAGCCCTGGTCAGGTGCATGCGGGAGGCAATCAATCGATGTGTCTCTCATCGATGTTCCTCTCTCTATCTCTCCATGTCCCTTCCACTCTCTCCAAAAATCAATGGGAAAAGTATCCTTGGGTGAGGATTAACAACAATAAAAAAATCTAGAAGGAACCTGGGTGACAGGGCCCAAGGAAAGGAACAACATCTCGGGCCTGAAAGAGGCTGAGTGAGAGTCTGCACAACAGATGGCACTGCCAAGGTCAGGTTGGGGAGGCCAGGCGACGGCCTGCAGAGACCAGCCAGCGGGGAGGGGCCAAGGAGTGAGGCCAGGGCCCAGTGGAGTCCTGGTGCTGGTGCAGGCAGGAGAGTGGATGGGTCTCTGCTAAACCTTGGGGACCCGGATGACTGCAGCCAGAGGAGGACTGAGGTTCAGCCCTTGGGAGGAGGTCACAGGGAGTCTGGAGACAGGCTGTATTAATGGTGAGCGGGCTGGGCCACAAGGAGGCAAGTGGGAAAGGACAGTGCCTGATGAAGGAGAGGATGCCCTGGGAGGGAGAGGTCTCCCTCTGCAAGGAGCAGGGGAGTAAGGCTCATCATGGCCACTTGGTGGCAGCAGAGAGTGGTTTCCAGATGCTTCAGGACTGGAGGGAACTCCCTAGAAGGGAAGTATCTCCTGGTAGCTTATTGTCCAGCACCCCACGAGCTGCAGAGAGCAGACGGTGTCCCTGAAGCACATGACTAGGGTTGCAGAAGGCAAGCCCCCTTCCTGGTCACTGTCACAGCCCTGAAGTGGAGCCCCTCTGACTGGACTTCGGGGGCCCCCTTCTTTCTCATGCCCACTCTCCCTGGCTGAGATCATAGCCACTCCCCATGACCTCAAGGTCGTGTCCACCTACAGGCCACCGCCCCTGGGGTCTCCCAGCTGTGCTGTCGCATCCCCACCACCTGGTGGCCCAGCTCACACCCCTGTCCCTGGGCTCCCAGGCCTGGCCGCTCTCTCTCCTCTGGCCCAGCCTGTTCTCATGGCCTCTGTCTTGGCTGGGAGCGCTGAGCACCCATAAGGTGGATGTGCTGGGTCCATTGAACAGAGCAGGGAGCCAGGTCCCAGGCTGCATCCGGGCATCTCACAGGCCTACTAGGCCTGACCTCTTAATCCAATTTCTTGAGCCCTGAGCCTGCTGCTCAGAGATCCTTGTAGCCTCTGCATTGGTTTGGGAGCAAAAGCACCTCACTCCCTTTTCCAGGATATATATATATTGATTTTAGAGAGGAATGAAGAAGGAGAAAGATAAAAATATCAATGATGACAGAAAGTCATTGATTGGCTGCCTCCTGAACTCCCCACCATGGGGATCAAGCCCGAAACCCAGGCATGTGCCCTGACTGGGAATTGAACCATGACCTCCTGGTTCATAGGTAAACGCTCAATCACTGAGTCATGCTAACTGGGCCAATGTTATATTTTGAAAATGGAAATGTATGCTATGTAACCAAGCAATGTTTCGTTTCTTCTAATGAGTAGTAAAGCCTGCAACTCTAAATGTCTTAGGTTTCATATTGTTAAAAAAAAAAAAAAAAAAAAAAAAAAGTGGGGGAAGATGAGTGAGAGAGTTGCTCAGAGTGTGGCCACCAGCCAGCTGACAGCTTGGAGCCTGCCCTAAGTCAGGTCCAAAGAGACAGCCCCACAGTGAGCCCTGCTGTCTGGCAGGGTGGCTGGGGGACAGAGGTTCCTTTCTCATTCTTCCCGAGCTAACTGACAGCCACCATGGTCAGATGGCCTGGTCACCAGGGCTGATCCCAGCTCAGCAGCTCTGGGTCCCTATATATCACAATGGGAAATGAGGCTGCCGTAGTGGCATGCTTCTATAGTCGCCTTTCCATCCACAACTCAGGCAGTGACCCAAGACAGAGCTTCCAGTAGCTTCTCCAAGCCTTGCTTGCAATGTCAGGGCCTAGATCGGAGCGCTGCTAGTCCCAGAAGCCCAGTGAAGGAGGCACCTTGAGGAGGATGTGGGCTGGGGGACTGAGGGAGGCGCCCTTGCCCACTATGAGCTAGGCTGATGGCAGTGGTAGAATATACAAGCCATTCTCCCTGATTTCTCAGGCCATCCTCTCTGCAGAAGTCCTTGCGCAGGACCATGGGGGTGGGGGCAGAGGGTGCTGCAGATCTGGGTGCAGGAAAGCCTGGACACAGCAGTGTCTTGCCTTGATGGCCCCACCCACCTCAATCGTCATTTCCAGGTCCCTGAAGCTATCCGCAAATGCCAGCGTGCTGGCATCACAGTCCGCATGGTGACTGGGGACAACATCAACACAGCCCGGGCCATCGCAGCCAAGTGTGGCATCATCCAGCCCGGAGAGGACTTCCTGTGCCTGGAGGGGAAGGAGTTCAACCGGAGGATCCGCAACGAGAAAGGCGAGGTAGTTGTCAGCCCATTTGCCCTTCCACAGGGGCCTGTGCGGCTGGCTCAGGTTGGCTCGGCTCCGTCCAGGTCCAGGGTTCTGGCCATTCCTCCACCCTCCCCCACCACCTCTGCTCAGCCCTGACTGGCCACCAGGCTCTGCAGTGGCTGTGTGTTTCCCCCTCCCAGATCGAACAAGAGCGTCTGGACAAGGTGTGGCCCAAGCTGAGGGTCCTCGCCCGATCGTCTCCCACAGACAAGCACACTCTGGTCAAAGGTAATGGAGCTCGCTCGCTCTCACTCACCCCTGCCCCTGCCCCTGCCCTGGGTGGCATGATGCTGGCTGGGTGTGGCTGTTACCCCTGCTTGATTTCTGCTCCTAGACACCCAAAGCCAAGGACCCGTTGCGGTTGGAGAGTTGGCTTGTGTCTCCGAGCAAGACACTGGCATTCCCTGAACCTCAGCTTACTCGTTGGGAAAACAATGGAGGCCCCTCAAAGGGCTGACATACCAGAGCTCAGTCCTCCATTTCTCTGGGCTAACAACGTGAATGGAAGATGGCAGTTGAGCCTAGCCTCTAGTAACAGATGGGGAAACTGAGGCCCTGGAGAAGGAGACATTTATCCAACTCACATGGTGTTGGGCTCCTTTCTTCTTTTTTTTAAAAAAAATATTTTTTATTGATTTCAGAGAGAAAAAGAGAGAAACATTAATGATGAGAGAGAATCATTGATCGGCTGCCTCCTGTTTGAGCTCACAACCCTAGGCATGTGCCCTGACCAAGAACCGAACCCTGACCGCCTGGTTTACAGGTTGATGCTCAACTGCTGAGTCATGCTGGCTGGGCTGGGCTCCTCCCTTCCACCAAATCACAGCACCCTGCATCATCTCACTGAGTGATGGACCTGGGCGGGAGGAGGGGGCGGGGCTCTCAGCCTAGACACAGAGACTTGAGCACAGAGGTTTGGGGTAGGAGGCACAGTCAAAATCCCAGAGGGTTTTCAGAGCCAACGGCCCCTATGCCTTTGCCCTGCTGCCCTGGACTGGTCACATGGCCCTGCTGTGTTTCAGGGATCATTGACAGCACCACTGGTGAGCAGCGGCAGGTGGTGGCCGTGACCGGGGACGGCACCAACGATGGGCCAGCGCTCAAGAAGGCAGACGTGGGCTTCGCCATGGTAAGCGACCCGATGCCCACCCGGCTCACCATGCCTGGCACGGCCCATGTCTCTAATACAACAGCTCTAAGCAGGAACCTGGGAGTTAGTGGTAAGGCAGATTGCAGAATGCCTGGATTTCCTTCTTGCTCATTGTGACCGCTTGATTTGGTTTTGTTTTTAATCCTCACCTGAGGATATTTTTCCATTGACTTTTAGGGAGAGTGGAAGAGAGGGAGAGACAGAGAGAAACATCGATGTGAGAGAAACACATTGATTGGTTGCCTCCTGCATGAGCCCCGACCAGGGCCCGGGCTGGGGAGGAACCTGCAACTGAGGTACATGCCTTTGACTGGAATTGGACCCGGGAGCCTTCAATTCACAGGCTATCGCTCTATCCTCTGAGCCAAACTGGCCAGGGACACTCTCTTTGTTTATGAGCAAAGCTGTGAGACAGTCTGCGGTTTGTGGTACAAGGACATGTTGATGAAATGAGAGCTGCTCCCAGCTGCAGGGAGCCCCATTGGGAGGGAGCGGCAGGGAGTCAGCCAGGTGGGCCGGGTGATCAAAGGGGAGTGGGGAATGGGCTCATGTGCCCGTGTGTGCGCCCCCCAGGGCATCGCAGGGACTGACGTGGCCAAGGAGGCCTCAGACATCATCCTGACTGATGACAACTTCACCAGCATCGTCAAGGCGGTCATGTGGGGCCGCAACGTCTACGACAGCATCTCCAAGTTCCTGCAATTCCAGTTGACGGTCAACGTGGTGGCCGTGATCGTGGCCTTCACTGGCGCCTGCATTACTCAGGTGGGCACTGTGGACCGCCTTGCCCAAGGAGAACCCTGGGATCTCCCTCCACAGCCCCTGGGACCTGTAGGAGGCAGCCAGTTTCTGAGGCCCCACCTGCCCCGTACATCTGGACCCCAGTGCGGAGAGCAAGCCCAGGGACCCTGCTGGCAGGAGTGTGCAGGCAAAGAGCTCCCAGGTTGGGAGAATCAGGTGTTTCCTTTGCTGATTTTAATTTTTACTGAGATAAAATTCACATACCAAAAAAAAAAAAAAAAAAAAAAAAAAAAAATCCCCTAATTGGGAGTGCACAATGCAGTAGCACTTAGTACTTTTACAGTGTTGTGCAATTATCATCTCTATCTAGTTCCAGAATCCTTCCATCATCCCAAAAGGAAGCCCTGCACCCATTAGCAAGCACTCCCCCGCCCCACTCCCCCAGCCTCTGGTACCCACCAATCTACTTCCCTTCTCGACAGATTTCCCTATTTATTCTGGACATTTCGTATAAATGCAATCAAACAATGCAGTTGTTTGTGTCTGGCTCCTTTCGCTTAACGCAATGTTTTCAAGGTCCAACTGTATTAGATGGATCCAGACTTCATGCCTTTTGGTGGAGGAATAGTGTTCCATTGTATAGCCGCAGCACGTCGTGCGTCCATCCCTCCGTCCATGGGCACTTGGGTTGCTTGCACCTCTGTGAATAACGCTGCTGTGCACACGCATGAATGCGGCTTTATGTGGACTGGCATTTTCAGTTCTGCTGGGTCTAGACCTACAAGAAGAAGTGCTGGGGCCTCTGGGAACTTGTATTTAACCTTTGAAGGAACCTCTTCACCTTTATCAATAGTCCACTTCTTCCCATTAGTGAGTGTCCAGAACTTGTCTCACTTTCAGAGGTTTTGTATTTGTTTTTAATATACACTTTTATTGATTTCAGAGACGAAGGGAGAGGGAGAGAGAGAGAAACATCAATGATGAGAGAACCATTGATCAGCTGCCTCCTGCACACCCCACCCTGGGGATCAAGCTCGCAACCCGGGCATGTGCCCTGACCTCTTGGTTCATAGGTTGATGTTCAACCACTGAGCCACACTGGCCAGGTGGTTTTGTGTGTTTTTTTAATCCTCACCTGAGGATTATTTCCCCATTGATTTCTGGAGAGAATGGAAGGGAGGGAGGAGGGGGAGGGGGAGAGAAAAAGAGAGAATCATCACTGTGACAGAGACACATTGATTGGTTGCCTCCTACAAATACTCTGACTGGGGCTGGGTAACCAGCAACCAAGGTACATGCCCTTGATCTGGAATCAAATCTGCGACCCTTCTGCAGTCTGACCCTCTAACCACTGAGCCAAACCAGCTAGGGCCAGAGTTTTTTTTGTTTGTTTGTTTTTGTTGTTTTTTTGAGATAAGATTCACATAACAAACTGCACCATAATCGCCATTTTATCCATTTCCAAGTGTACAATTCCATGGTTGTTAGTGAATTCACAATGTACAATCATCACCACTGTCTCATTCCAGAAGGTTTTCATCACCCTGCCTGCTAAGCAACCACTCCCACTCTCCCCTTCCTCAGTCCCACGCACCCATTCATCTGCTTTCTGTCTCTGCGGATCTGTCAGTTCTGGAAGTTTCATGAGAACAGAATCATACAGTATGGGGTTCTTGGTGTCTAGCTTCTGTGGGTCTTATTTTTAACCAACAACTGAGATGAGGAAGAGAAGGAAGGCCCGGTGCAGAGTTTCTGCCTCTTCCTGCTCCTCAGAGTGTAGGGGATGGGACACCACCGATTAATCAGGCTCTTTCACAGGCGGGGGCAACTGCCAATCTCCTGCTAACAATTTGGGCCATACCTTCTAGATCACTGCCGCCAGGTAAGAAGAGGAGACTGGCAACATTTTAAGAGCAGGAATCAGCCCAGTGAAAACTCTCAACTAATCTTAGAAAACATAGGGATGGGGCCTACCTGGGCCTGGCTCAGTGGTAGCACGTCGACCTATGAACCAGGAGGTCACAGTTTGATTCCCCATCAGGACACTTGCCCGGGTCGTGGGCTCGATCCCAGGTGTGGGGCATGCAGGAGGGAGCCGATCCATGATTCTCTCTCATCATTGATGTCTCTCTCTCTCTCTCCCTCCCTTTCCCTTCCATTCTGAAATCAATAAAAATATGTTTGTTTGTTTTTTAAAGGAAACACAGGAATGGAGATGTACCTTTTTATAGGAAGGTTGAATTTGTTGCATTTTCATTTAAATAAAATCCCAGCAATATTGCCCTGAGCTCAGTTGCTTCCCAGGAGCCATGGGCCTGTAGGGTTCCCAGCACCACATTGGAGTGACTGCCTCCTCTCTACAGGACTCTCCTCTCAAAGCCGTGCAAATGTTGTGGGTGAACTTGATTATGGACACATTTGCCTCTCTGGCCCTGGCGACAGAGCCGCCCACCGATTCGCTGCTGCTGCGGAAGCCATATGGCCGGGACAAGCCCCTGATCTCCCGAACCATGATGAAGAACATTCTGGGCCACGCAGTCTACCAGCTCACCATCATCTTCACGCTGCTGTTCGTGGGTAGGTTGGCCCCAGGCATATTGCGTTGCTACTGGATCTTTGGGTTCCCGCCCTGTCTGGGGGTGGAAGGCACAGATGAGCACCTGGGGACCCAATTTCCAAGGAGGACCCACCCCTTGGCCCTCACCTCCCTGCTACCTCTCTCCAAGTATGCCCCACCCAGGTGGCACAGGCCCCTAAGCCGCTGAGAAACTGTCCAATGCTCTACCCAGACCAGGTCACTCACCCACCTGCCCACTCACCCCATGACTATTTGCTTCTCCAGGAGACAATGACCAGAGCACTCTACCAGAAGTTGGGAGGAGGAAGACCAGGAGAGAAAGGGGAGAGGAAGAGGAAGAGGGGGAGGGAAGTAGAGATGGGAAAAGGAAAGGGGGGTAGAGGAGGAGGCACAAGAAGGGAGGCTGGGAGAGGGAGAAAAGGGGACATGGAGAAGAGGAAGGGAGAAGAGAGGAAGAAGGAGGAAGGAGAAAATGGGTAGAGAGGCTGAGGGGGAGCAGAAGGGGAAATGAAGAGAGGAAGAGGAGGGAGAGGGATAAAAGAGGAGGAGAGGAAGGGGGAGGAGGTCAGAAAGCAAGAAGGGGTAAGGGCAGGGGAGGGGAGAGAGGCAGAGACAAGAGTGTGGACAGTAGAGGGAAGAACTGATGGGGAGAGGCTGGGCAGAGGGTGCTCAGGGCGATGATCACAGGGCTCCTAAGCATTGGCTCTACCAGCCCAGACATGGAGGGCACCGAGCCCTCCAGCACACTGGCTCCTGGGAAACCTGGTGCCAATGCTGGCTGTCCAGTCCTCTGAGTTCCTTCTGTGTCGGGTAAGCTCTATGGAGCAGACTCCTTATTATTATTATTTTTTAAATCCTCATTGAAGGATATTTTTCCATGGATTTTTAGAGAGAGTGGAAGGAAAGGGGGAGAGACAGAGAGAGAAACTTCCATGTGAGAGACACCCATCGATTGGCCAGCAACGGAGGTATGTGCCCTTGACCAGAATCGAACCCATGTCCCTTCGGTCCGCAGGCCAACACTCTAGTCACTGAGCCAAATTAGCTAGGGCAGATTCCTTTCATTATACTGGGGGGTGGGTTTGCTGGTTGGTGTGTCTGTGGCCTCTCTCCCTTATACCAGGGTGCTCCCCATGTAACTGTGACCCTGGACTGTAGGTGGCCTGGGTCCCCATCACAGCACTCCAGAGCCTGGTGAGGTGAGGTTTTCAGCCCATATTCCTGGGAGCAGAATCAAAGCTCAGTGTGCAGGAGTCACAGCGGGGGCTCCCAAATGTCAGTATCTGGGGACCCTCTGGGGAGCTTTTTCTATGATTTCTTGGAAGCAGGAACCCCGTGGCCTGTCCAAGGGCCTAGCCCAGCTGCCTTGTCCTAGGGCAGGGCAGGGCAAAGGAGGGCTGGGCTGCCCTCCACCCTGCAGCCCCCTGAGTCCTTCCCAGCCCACCCCCAACTCCACCCAGCAGGCAAATGAGAAAAGATGTGCAAGAGCTCTGTCTTAATTTCTTTGTTTTCCTTTTTTCAAATATATTCCTATTGATCTCAAAGAGGAAGGGAGAAAGAGAGATAGAAGCATCAACAATGAGAGAGAACCATTAATTGGCTGCCTCCTGAATTCCCTCTACAGGGGATCGAGCCCGCAACCCAGGCATGTGCCCTTGACCAGAATTGAACTCGGGACCCTTTCAGTCCACAGGCCGACGCTCTATCCACTGAGCAGGCACACAGTGTGGCTGGACTCGCCCTCAGCCCCCCACCACCCAGGGCCAGCCTGTGGCACAGGCAAGCCTTAGATGGTAACTGCCCAGCTGCCCAGGGCTGCCTAAGGATCAGGTAACCAGAGCTGGCCAAGGCTTGTGCTGCCGGCAGTGGCAGCAACAGAGGCGTGATGGGGCATCACCTTTCCCTGATCACTGGGTTGCCTCCCGCCCCTGAGGGCTCCCAGATTGTGAGAGGGGGCAGGCTGGGCTGAGGGTCCCCCCTCCAGTACATGAATTTTCATGCACGGGGTCTCTAATATATATATTTGTGTGTGTGTTTGTGTGTATTTGTGTATATATCGATACATATATATATATACACATACACATACACACACACTGAGTGGCCAGATTATTATGCTTTCGAAGATCATAATAATCTTGTCCACTCAGTGTAGACATACCACTTACTTTACTTCTTTTTTAAAATATATATATGTGTGCTTTTTTTAATTGATCTCAGAGAAAGGAAGGGAGATGGAGAGAGATAGAAACATCAATGATGAGAGAGAGTCATTGATTGGCTGCCGCCTTCACGCCCTATATTGGGCATCGAGTGGATAATCCAGGCATGTACCCTGACTCATAACGGAACGCTGATCTCCTAGTTCCATGGTCAGCAAACTGTGGCCCTCGAGCCACATACAGCTCTTTGGCCCCTTGAGTGTGGCTCTTCCACAAAATACCACGGCCTGGGTAAGTCTATTTTGAAGAAGTGGCATTAGAAGAACTTTAAGTTTAAAAATTTGGCTCTCAAAAGAAATTTCAGCCGAAACGGGTTTGGCTCAGTAGATAGAGCATCGGCCTGCGGACTGAAAGGTCCCTGGTTCAATTCCGGTTAAGAGCATGTACCTTGGTTGCGGGCACATCCCCAGTAGGGGGTGTGCAAGAGGCAGCTGGTCGATGATTCTCTCTCATCGATGTTTCTCTCTATCCCTTTCTCTTCCTCTCTGTAAGAAATCAATAAAATATATTTTTTAAAAAGAAATTTCAATCGTTGAACTGTTCATATTTGGCTCTGTTGACTAATGAGTTTGCTGACCACTGGCCTAGTTCATAGGTTGATGCTCAACCACTGAGCCACGCTGGTCGGTCCTGTCATTTCTTCATTCCTGCCCTCGGGTTTCAGGTTTTGGTGCCTCCCTCACCCCTGCCCAGGTCCTGCCGCTGACCTTGGCTGTCTCGCCGAGGGGTCAGGGCTGTGCCCCTCATGTGACCCTTGGCTTACAGGGGAGCTTTTCTTCGACATCGACAGCGGGAGGAACGCGCCCCTGCACTCGCCGCCCTCGGAGCACTACACCATCATCTTCAACACCTTCGTCATGATGCAGCTCTTCAACGAGATCAACGCCCGCAAGATCCACGGCGAGCGCAACGTCTTCCATGGTATCTTTGGCAACCCCATCTTCTGCACCATCGTCCTGGGCACCTTCGCCATTCAGGTAGGGGGTGGCCCACTCTTGGGGAAGGCGGGGAGCATGTCCCCCTGTTACTGACCTCTTTACTATTTTTTAATATTCTTATTGATTTCAGAGAGGATGCAAGAGGGGGAGAGAGAGAGAGAGAGAGAGAGAGAGAGAGAGAGAGAGAGAGAGAAACATCGATGATGAGAAAGAATCATTGATCGGCTGCCTCCTGCACGCTCCATACTGGGGATGCTCAACCACTGAACCATATCGGCCAGCCTGGCCTCTTTTTTCCTTTTTCTTAAAAATCCTCACCCAAGGATATTGTTCCATTGATTTTTAGAGAGAGTGGAAGAGAGAGGGAAAGACAGAGAAGAAACATTGATGTGAGAGAAACACATCGATTGGTTGTCTCCTGCACATGCCATGACCAGAATCCGGGCTGGGGAAGAGCCTGCAACCAGGGTACGTGCTCTTGACCGGGAGGTGTCCTTGACCAGAATCGAACCTGGGACCCTTCGGTCCACAGGCAGATGCTCTATCCACTGAGCAAAACCGGCCAGGAGGTGCCTCCTCAGACCTTCTCACAGGTCCCGCTGGGTCTGTCACAGCCATTTCTAACACGGCCCTTTCCCTTGGAGGTGCCCTTGTCCCCAGTGCTGACACACAGGCCTCTCCCCGCCACAGTGCTGCGACAGGCTTGCCAGGCTGCTTCCCAGGAGGGCTGAGCCTTTGAACAGAGGGTATATTCATAAAACGTGACATACCGTGAGGCCCACAGGCCAGAATACTTGTTCCTCACAAGTCTTGGAGGAGGGGTCTGCCCCCCCCCTCCGCGATGGAGGCCACGGGGGCCAATCAGGAGGCTGAGGGAGAGGGGGGTGGGGCAGAGGAAAGGGAGGGGGGCGGGAAAAGATTAACCAAAGAACTTAAATGCATATATGCATTGTCTGTGGACAACAGGGTGATGAAGGCCTGGGCAAAAACCGAGTGAAGGGGGCAATAATGGGGAAGAGGAGACATCCACATCCGTAATACAACAATAAAGGTTCAAAATATGTTTTAAAGAAAGAGAAGCTGTGAGGTGGGGTGAGCAGGCTGAGGACGGGCTAGTGCAAGTGATTTTAGGGTTGGGGGGCGGGAGGGCTATCCCTGATTGTCTGGAACTTGGCCCTGGGTGAATGGGGCGGGGGGGGGGGGGGGGGGGGGGCCGGGGAACAGTGGCCCGAAGTGTAAGCCCAGTGGTGGAGGTGGTTGGTCGCTATATTTAAACTCGCCACTAGGTGGAGACTTTCTCTCAAGGAGGAGGCGATGAGGGAGCAGGGGGCCTGGCGGGGTGACTCTGGTGTGCCCGGGGCTGAAAGAACAAGGCGCGTCCAGCGTATGCACGCAGCGTAAATGTTAAAGAATCTAATTTACAGAGGCTGGAAATGCGGTTCGCCCGCTGAGCCCATCTGCCTGGGAAAAGCAACAGCCTCTCTGACCTCTGAACAGGGAGGAACCAGCCCGCAGGGCAGGATGGGATGGGCCTCGCGTGCTTGTGGAGGAGGGTGGTATGAATAGGTGTGCCGGCTGGACCCGCCTCCCTCCCACCCTCTCCTGCAGATTGTCATTGTCCAGTTTGGTGGAAAGCCCTTCAGCTGCTCCCCACTGTCCACGGAGCAGTGGCTCTGGTGCCTGTTCGTTGGTGTTGGGGAGCTGGTCTGGGGCCAGGTGAGTGTCTGTTTTATCAGCTTCCCTAGTCCCTCCCCCTTCCCCCTGTTTCATTGGCTTTTCTAGTCCCGCCCCCTCCCCCTGTCTCATCAGCTTTTCCTAGTCCCACCCCCTTCCCCCATCTCATTGGCTTTCCCTAGTCCCACCCCTTCCCCCGTCCAATTGCCTTTCCTAGTCCTGCCCCCTTCCCCCTATCTTATCAGCTTTCCCAGTCCCGCCCCCTTCGCATCTGCTCTGCAGCAGTCCCGGTGATGGGCACAAGGCCCAAGGCCCGGGAATGGTGGGCAGCTCAGGGCCCCCACCCCTGCTCCTTGCTCCAGAGCCTTGGAGCCCAAGCCTGGGAAAGCATGTGGCATATTCAGGTTGGTGGCACCACACAGCAGGGCTCAGATGTGGGACATGCCACGACTCAGGTGGCAAGGCCACTGTTAGCAGAAAGAAGGTAAAGGGCTATAGCGGGAATGTCCCGGGGCCTTGGCAAAACCACCCATCACTCCCCTTTTCATGCTGGGACCTGAGACTCATCCCTGAACACTGGGTGCCTTGGAAAATCCCCACCTATCTGAAAACAAACAACATCTTGCTAAATCCTCCACGGGCAAGAGAAAATGGGAGGGAAATGAAGAAATACTTTGAGCTGAGGGAAAGTGAAACCCTGGAACCTCGAGCTCTGGGCTGCAGACAAAGCCATGTGTGTGTGTGTGTGTGTGTGTGTGTGTGTGTGTGTGTTGCGGGGAGGCGGGTCACAGAACCAGATGATTAAGTCAGGAAAAAAGGGAGGGGCCCCCGGGCCTGTGAAAGTGTTTCTCCGGAATCTAGAACACTGCGTACGTAGGATGCTGAGCCCAGGATCCACCCTGTCCTGTGTGTTACTCATCTCAGGCCGCCACAACACATACCACAGACTGGGCGGCTTTGCCAGCATAGGTTATTCTCCAACAGCAATAGGGCCTGGAAGTCCAAGATCAAGTATACATGGGGCGGGTCCAGGAGAGACCGGGCGCAGCTTCCAGGGCCTGGCACTGGTGTGACGATGTGCAGGGGCGCTGCTTCAGGAAAGCATCCGGGGCGGCAGTGTGCAGGGACTTTCCTGGGAGTGGGTCCTGCAGGCCCGGGGTGCCCACGTGGCTGGCCTCAGCCTCAGTCTCCAGCCCCTGGAGGTCTAGGTTGTTTATCGGGCCCAATCCCTCTCCCCCTCAGAAAGCACTGTCAGCATAGACTACCTGCAGGGCGCTCGCCTGGCAAACCAAGGCCGCCTCCTCAGGCAGCGCTGCCAGGTGCCTAGAGCTCAGGAACCTGGAGGTCCCTCCCAGGAGCTGAGGGCCAAGGCCAGAGCTCAGTCTGGTAAGGCGAACCTCTTAGTACACATGCTACATGGGAAGGTTGCACCTGCTGCTCCTGTGACCCTCTGCTTGGCCCTCTGCTCAGCTCCCCAGGGCCAGTTCTGGGTCTGCGCTCTCTCTTTCTTTTTAAAAAAATTTATTTTATAAAGATATTTGTATTGACTTCAGAGAGGAAGAGAGAGGGAGAGGGAGAGAGAGAAACATCAATGATGAGAGAGAATCACTCATCAGCTACTTTCCACATGCCCCACACTGGGGATCGAGCCGGCAACCCGGGCATATGCCCTGACTTGGAATTGAACCGTGACTTCCTGATTCAAAGGTTGAGGCTCAACCACTGTACTACACCGGCCGGGCTGGATCTGCTCTCTTTGATGAACACGGGAAACCACGCCCCTCAGTGGAAAGAGGCTGGCTCTCCCTCTGGAGTGTGGATTTGGCACCGGGCATGAAGCCTTCGGGACAAGAAGGGATGTCCAGTCCTGGGGGTGGGGATACACAGACCCTGCTCTGATGGCCACCCCCACCTCCTGCCCCTCGCCTCTGGCCCCCAGGTCATCGCCACCATTCCCACCAGCCAGCTCAAGTGCCTGAAGGAGGCGGGGCACGGGCCTGGGAAGGACGAGATGACCGACGAGGAGCTGGCCGAGGGGGAGGAAGAAATTGACCACGCCGAGCGGGAGCTCCGCAGAGGCCAAATCCTCTGGTTCCGGGGCCTCAACCGGATCCAGACGCAGGTAAGCTGCCACGCGCTAGGCCACTCGGCTTTTCTGCTTCCGGAGGGTGGCAAGCCAAAGCAGTAGGCAGCGGATGGGCGCGCTGAGCCCGGGACTGACAGGCAAAGCCTTGGGTCTCGCGGCCCCGATCACTGAGGGCAGTTGCTAGTGTCCCTGTGCTGTCCACACACATACCCTCTGGCAGTTGTGGCACTGAGGTGGCCCAGGGGCCTCCCCTAGTGGGGACAGGTGTCAGCTGCAGATGTGCGCTGTGACCAGTCACTGTGTCTCTGCCCCAGGTCACAGAGAAGGGACATTCTGGGGGTGACCGAGATGCCATTTCAAGTAGCCCTGGGCCAGCTCAGCATTCACTGGGTTATGGTGGGGATTCCGTGGGACGATGTCGTTTGGGACATGGACTCTGGCCACCAAGTTGGTCCTTTTGGTCACCCCACTCTACCAATATCAGGGCTGCTGTCCTCTATCTAGTCCCATAGCCACGACTGCCCAGGTTTCACAAGAGCCTGCCTGCCAGGGCCTGCCCCCGCTCTCTGCCCCCAGCTCTTCCCAGCCAGCCTTCTTGCCAGAATGTTCCATACTCTCTGTCTCTCCATGGTTTTCCCACGCGCTCACTTGTGATCCCATCGCAGCCTAGCCTCTGCCCTCCGCGTCCCAGAGGCTCCCGTCAAGGTCTTCAAGGCATCCTCCCGGCTCTCGGGGTCAGGCTGTCCCTCCTTCCTTCCTGCTTCGAAGCTTCTTCCCAGCGCCCTTCTGGAAGCGCCATCATCCCTGCTGTCCCTGGCGGCTTGCTGTCCCCTCTCCACCTCGCTCTCTGCTCCCGCCTGCCATCCCCGCCTCCCGCTGAGACATCGGTCCACCCTGCTGTGGCCCTCGTGTGTTGAAAATCCCCCGGACCCGGGGGCGTCGGACACGATAGGGAAGGAAGGAGGAGCGGGTGAGAGCTGCCCCATGTGCGGATCAGGGATCCTGCCTGACCCTCAGCCCTCTGTCCCCTCCGGTCACCCACAGCCCCGTTCATTCAGCTTCATCCAATCCCCGCCGCCCTGCTCCACTAGGCCGCACGGACGCTGGTCTCTTCTCGGCCAGTTCCTGGGGGCCCCTCACTCACCACCGCCTCCTCCGTCCAGCCTAGAACCGCGGAGCGCCGCGCCCTCGCCAAGATGCCTCCCAGCACCCACCCTGGGCCTGGCCCAGACCACGGGCCCTGCAACCCCAGCTCACCTACTCCCAGACCCCCAGCTCCTGACCTGTGACTCCAGAGCCCCAGGGACATCTCAGAGCCTCTTCTTGTCTCCCCGCACACCCGGGCCTCGGCATGGTTCATCGGCTCAGCTCGGCCTCCTCGAATGCAAGTCCCCAGTCCTGCTGCCACCCCAGACCCCTCCCAGCACAGCCTCTGCTCAGTATACCCCCTCCCAGCCCCTCCTGGCCTTCCTGTGCCCCCTCCACCCCCGCCTCCAGCCCAGGAACCCCAACCCCCCTGCCCCTGACCTGGCTCCGATTGCTTCTCCTCCTGGGGTCCCACCAGAAGGAAGGACCCCGGACTGTTCAGCCCTTCTCCAGAATCTGTTTAGGCAACTTGGACCCCCTCCGCCTGAGGCAGGACCTGAGCCACATCTCTCTCCATGTCTGCCCTCCAGCCCGGCACAGATCACCGCAGGCTCGTCCCAAAGACTCTTCCACGCAGTGTGCCCAAAGCCCCAGGCCCAATGCTACCTCTCAGTGCACACAGCTCGGCAGCTGCTCCGCACAGCGCCTGGGGGGTCATGGGTCTCCACCTCAGGCACCCCTCCTCTCTTCCCCAGCCTCCAGCCTCAACTGTGGCCACGAGCTCCCAGCCTCCTGCCGGCTCCACCAGCCCTTGCTCAGCTCGGGCCCCTCCAGCGCCACCCTCCACACCTTCGCCCGTGTAGCCTCTCCCCTTTGTCCTAAGGGTGAAGTCCAGGGTCCAGACAGTGGCCTTCGGGCCCCTGCCTCTTGGTGTCACCCCACACTCCCTGTGCCCCTGTGACCCCTGCTGCCTTTCCAGATGTGTGCTCCGCTCCCCCGCTTCGCTGTGCCTCCGTGCTGGCCGCTGGTTTGGGCTCCAGGCCTCCCCAGCTCCCGCTGTGTCCCCTCGGGGGGGCCCCACTCATCCTGCAGCTGCCCACTCAAAGGCCACCGCCTTGTGAAGCCTTCTCAGACTCCACTCCCTCCCACCGCCGTGGACCGTCGTGGATGCGCGGCACGCACACTCGTGACACTTCTTTCTCCCCATGGCCAACCATCTGTGCACCCTGCCCAGGGCGCTGGAGTCAGTGAGGAGCAGACTCCCCCAGGGAGTATCCCAAAGCTGCAGTGTGCAGGACCGCCCCCAGAGCTCAGGGTGCTTCAGGGCTGGGTGAGGTGGCACCAGAGAACTCCATGTTTAAGGGGCTCCCCCGGGGTCCGAGGGGCTTCTGCAGTGGAGCGGCAGGGGGCCAGGTCTCTGTGCTACGTCCCTAAGCCATGTGGCCAGGGAAGAACGTCTTAGGTCGGGCAGAACACTGAGCGCCTGGTAGAATAGGAGTAGCCTATGGAGCCAGATGTCTAGGTCTCCCCATTGCCTTCTGGCCACTCAGCTATAAGCCCCGCCCACCCTGGCCTGGCCCTGACAGGCTCTTATCCATCATGCAGAGCGTTAGCAGGGGTGGGGTCGGGAGTGGGAGTGCAGCAGCACCTTGCCTGCTCTGGTCAGCCCAATTCGCGTCCATCAGTGAACCTAAGGTTGAGCCTAGCTTTTCTAGCAGCTGAGACAGCAACCCTACTCGGATGTGAGGCATCTCAGGAGAGGTCAGCACCCGCCACTTTTGCGTCTACAACCCGTGTGCCTGTGGGCTCTGCGCAGGCGCTGCTGCCTGGCTAGTGGAGTGGTTCCAGCAGTCGCAGTGTTGGACTTCCAGGCTGTTGACACTCTCAGTGTCCATGTAGACATTGGTGGGTCAGATCCCTGCTTTCCACAAGAGCAAACAGGGCCCAGAGAGAAGGGACTCAACCAAGGTCACCCAGTGAGAGTGTGGGCCTGCTGGGGCCCACGTCTCCGCGCCCTGATCCACTCCTTCCTCCGGGAGATCTTGAACTTGTCACATCACATCAGATCCACCACACTTCTCAACAATGCCAAGCCGACTTGTTACTTTAGCTCACTTTTGAACAGTGTCTGTTCTTTTTTGTTCAAACTGCCTGCTTGAAAAAACACACACACACACACACACACACACACAAAAAAAACAAAAAACAGAAATAAAGCTTTCCCAGGTTGTACGTACACCCCAAGCTAAGAGAAACATTGGGTAGTTGGCCCTAGATTTGCCACAAAATCCCTGCCCAGGCTTCGGAGGCCAGCACCGCTCTTCATGTTGCTAAGTGGGGGCATCTCTAACCTGCTACTCGCGCTCACCATCATTTCATACTAACATATGAATGCACCACAATAAAGAGAGAATCCTTGAAATCCAGAGCACGGGGGTTTTTGGAGCGCTCATGCCGCGGTGTGTTGCACATTCTCTGTGAACCAACGAGAAGTTTCGGCAGCAATCGGGCTTCCGGGGGTGGAGGCTGGATGACAATTGTGCAGTATTTTGACTGATACCATCATCCCATCTGGACGCCATATGGAGAGGCCAAATCAGAGGCAAGAAAGGCATCTTCCCCTTCCCTCGTCACCTTTGCCACAGCAAGAGTCCCCTCTTGAGACAGATCTACGTCCATAGCCTTAGAAACATCTGCTCATTGTAGAGAGAAGACCCCCCCCCCAAAGGAACGGCGACATCACGGCCTGGGTCATGGGTCATCTTCCTTTAGTGTGTGGAGGCACGCCATCAGAGTGCCAGCCCTCCACGGGGCTCAGCGTGCCTTCCTCATGGGTCTCAGTCTTGGTCCTGAGGGATCCCCTACTCAAGAGCGGGATGTGCTGGGCAGAAGCGGGGCTCGGCGGCTGGATCCATGACAATAAGTCTTTTCTGTGGCGTGCTCATTTGGGTTGGGGTAGGGGAAGTCTCATCACTCAAACTGCCTTCTTCCGAGAAGCCTGCCGCATGTCAGATACCCCGCTGAACCTGGTGGCCACGTCATAGCTACCGCAGGGGCTGGAGGGTGGGGCAGGTCGTTGGGCCCAAATCAGGTCAACAATGCATTCCAGGCTCCAGAAATACATACTTGCTTCACTGTTCACATCATCCAATGAACTGTAGAGCACTTTCCACAAATCAAACCCACCTTCCGAGACCACAATTCCCCCAGCCACCCCCATATTGAGGGCATTCCTAAAGAGATGACCAAAAGCATGCCACCCCGACTAGCCTCCCAGAATGCAGGTACATGGGCTCACAATGGTAGGCATTCACTGTGGCCACTCAGTTGCAGTTTCTGGGAGCCCCACACACGGGTCTGTCCACCCCTTCCAGCCCCCAAGCCCGTCCAAGGCCGGATCAGGAAGTCCAAAGACACTTGACTCCCAGCAAGTTCACCCGTATGGTTCTCATTTTCCGAAGACCCACTTCCCTTTTGACTTCCAGGAAACTTAAAAGGTGGGGGACAAAGCAAAAAACCTTGTCTACTCCCCAGAGTCCAGGCTCTCTGGTCTCCCTCCTGTCTTGCCTGTGGCCCCGCCCCCTCTTTTTATTTTTCATTTTTTAATATACAATATTTGTATTAATATCAAAGAAGAAGGGAGAGAGAGAGAAACATCAATGATGAGAGCGAATCATTGATTGGCTGCCTCCTGCATGTCCCACACTGGGGATGGAGCCCACAACCCAGGCATGTGCCCTGACCAGGAATTGAACCTCCTGGTTCATAGGTCGATGCTCAACCACTGAGCCACACTGGCCAGGCTCCCCCCTCTTTTTAAATCCATTCTTCCACCAAGGCTTCCCCTGGGTGCCCCTCAATCACTTGGATGATCGTAGAAGAAGCGTGATGACCACACCTCCCAGCAGGGCAGGGCAGGGCAGGCTGGCAGGGTGAGGTGCAGGGTAAACGAAGGACAGGCCCAGGGAAGGGTCCCTGTCCCCCTGCGGTGCCACCAGGAGCCTTGTTCCTAATAGGAGCGTGTCATATCCCTCAGGTGTGTTGGGGCGGACAAAAAGGTTGAGACCCACTGTCAACAAAGTATGACAGACACAGGTATTGATTGACGAGTGGCTTGCCATGAGCTTACCGTGAATGCACATGACTAAACGTTTGCAGTGTGCCTGGTTGTTAACCGCCCGCCCTCCCAGCCTTCTGAGTGCTAATCAATTTGCTCAGCAAAACCCTCTCTTGGCGGATGACACAGGGGCCGGCCTGGACCATGGCCACGGCCCCGCCAGGGAGCTGGGCGACCTAGATGAGGCTTTGCTGACACCATATATGCCCAGTGTGGTCCCTGTCCTCACCCAGCCCCACCCCCGTGCTCTAGCCCGGACAACAGTGCAAGCCAAACTTTATCTCATTTTCTCTCCCACAGATGGAGGTAGTGAGTACCTTCAAGAGAAGCGGTTCATTTCAGGGTGCCGTGCGCCGGCGGTCTTCGGTCCTCAGCCAGCTCCATGACGTAACCAATCTTTCTACCCCTACTCACGTAATTCTCTCTGCTGCCAATCCCACCAGTGCCGCTGGGAGTGAGTCTTGAGTCCCCTTTTCTCTCATAAATGGCATCTCTGGGGGAGAAAAAGCCTCTCCAACTCTTCCTTCTCTTTTTTTCCAGTCTTGCATCCTCCGCTCACCGTGGCTTTTCCGTTCTTTCTTTACTGCCCTGTCCAGTCCTTCCCGCTCAGATGGTGTGTTTCTCCAAAGCCATATTCTCTTATGAAATGTACTGAATCCATGGCACTGCTGGACCTTCTGTCCTTTTTTGTTTTGATTTTGATTTTTGATTTTTGATTTTTGGTTTGCATTGAGTGCTCCTCCTGTCATTGGTTTTTCTTTTCTTGAACTTGTCTGCACTTGCCGACGGTTCTCCATGAACTTGGGCTGCTTCTGGCAGTGTCTGGTGGCAGGGGTGGCGGGGGGACCTCGGTCGGTGTTTGGTGGGGCAGCGAAAGGGAGGCAAGCAGGCTCAGGGTCACCTTCCAGGGCTGGAGGGGATGGCAAGGGGCGCTTGGGGCATCACTGGCAGCGGAAAAACCCAGCCCTCCTATTCGGGACTAAAGTGTCAGCTTTCAGAACTTTCCTTGAGGTGCTTTCCAATGGCACTAGGCCTGGTGTGAGCTTCAGGGGGCCTCTGTCACGTGTCCCTAGATGGACTTGGTGGTGGCCAGCTGTTTCTGCTCCAGTGCTACCTGCCCCATGGGCCCTGCCCTGAGCCCTCCCCACCCGGGGGTTAGAGGTGCCTGCACTTACCTCCATTCCCATCAGTTCCCAACGTTACCATCACTCTTTCCAAACAGGCCTGGGCATGAGCAGGTCTTACTTTGATCTGGTCCACCCTTTCTCCTCCTCCCTTTGAGAAACCGGGAGAAATCAACTCCCTTCTATATGGTCCATGTGTCTGCCATGTCCATCACCTTTCAAGAGAACCCAGGGGCTGGCCTGGAGAGGTAGACACTCCCATAACCACTCACATCTTTTCACGAAGACAAAGGGCGAGCCACTAGACCATGGAACCCGCCAGCCCAGGGAACGGTGCGGGCCCCCTGCTCCCACCCAGAGCCTCCTGCTTCTTATAACAAACCGGAGCTTTTCCAAAACCCAACAGTAACCCTTCGAGTATGAGCCCAGAGCCCCTGCCGGGATGGTTCGATGCTTCCTCTTTCCTTTCCTTCCAGTGAGACCAGCAGCTCTCCCCCCGGTGAGCACACCACTTGCCCGCAGACGGGACCATTAACCACGCCGTTTTCCCCACCAGACCCTGGGATTTCCTTTTGCTTGGTTTCATCTCTTTCCCTTGTTTCCTTTGTCTTGTCTTGTCCTTTTTTCCTTTTCTTTTGTTCTTTTTTTTATTTTATTTTTTATTTATTATTTTTTTTTTTTTTTAGGAACTGGTGAGAGGCCCCAGTTTGGGGGTGGGGGGGTGGGGGGAGGTGCATCCCTCCTCTTGCTAAAGCTGCATTTCAGGCCACTCTGCCCTTTAAGGAAGGGATGTGAGCCGCACCGGTCCCCGCCGGGCCACCTTGTCCCCTTTGGAAACACACACATCCCTTCTCCAAACCGCAGCCACATACTCGTCCATCTCCCTCTCACACTCGCTGGGCCACCCACCGGGACCACAGCTAGTGGCCAACAGATGTCACAGGCGGACTGAAAAGCTGTGGCGTCATCCCAGAGAGACCCAGAGGTTAAGGACGGGAGTGGTCACAGCCTCCTAAGACTCAGCCAAGCCCCGATGGGGTGGCATCTTCCTTCCTGAAAACAAGGGGACCTGAGGGGATGCAGATCTGCCTGAGGGACACACTCTGACCTATACCTGTCCCTCCCCCTACACTTGACTTCCTCCACATGTCCCTTTGCCATCTCTCTCTGCCCTTCCTGTCTATCCATCTGCCTGTCCGTTGACTTGTGAGAAAAGCAGCCAACATGGACCCCACTGCGCATGCCCCTGAGGCTCTCTCCATAGTTAGCCTTTTCCCACCAGTGCGCCAGCCCGGGCCTCCCCTCTGTGCTCCTGGCGAGGCCTGCTGGCTTTGGCTCCTTCTGAGTTCCTCTGGCTCACTTCCTGAGGTGGGGGGGGGGGCTTCTCTCTCTCCTCTTCTTCAGCTCCTAGTACCTTCCTTTCTTCTACAGCCACCTGTCCCCCACCCCCACCCCCATCTTCCCACTTCCAGGAGCCCAGCAGAGCCACCTGTCCTCCTGGTCGAGAGCCACTCCAGGGAAGCCTACCTTACACGTGGCCAGACGAGAAGGGCCGCTGTCCCTTCCACACTATGTGCCTCTGGGCAAGGAGCAGGTGGCAGGCCCCGCTGAGAGCTGAGCACCTTCTGTGACAGCAAGGGGTTCCCGATGTCCTGACTCCCAAGGTTCAGCCTAAAAGGCTCACTCCAGTTAAGTGGCAGCACCTCAGAAAGAAAGGACCCCACTGTGGGGAGAGATGCTGATTGGAAGACCAGGCAACACCTGGGGATGCACCTGTTTCTGGAAGCCGCCGACCCAAACTGCTCCGTGCCACCACCATGTGGCAGATCGGTTTGGAACTCTGAACCGGACCCCAGGAAATCACCAAAGCCAGCACCCTCCTCGGGGAAGGCCTAGCAGAGTTGGGGCTAGCCCAAGGCCATCACCCTCTCTTGGAACTTGCCAGAAGGCAGGCAGGGTGCCGGCCACCACAGAGCTCCCAGCCTAGGCGAGAGGCAGCACTGTAGGAGGGGTGGTGGTCGCAGGGGACAAGGTTTCCCCGAGGAGAACTCCCATTCTTGTGCAAAGGTTCCTGTCTTCCTTGCCCACCTGCCAGCCAGTCCACACTTGTCCCATGTGCTGGGGCAAGTGTCTCCACACATCCCAGCCCCTGAGCTGACATCACTTCCGGTGGGAGCCTCAGGCTCTCAAAGGAAGCGGAAGGCCCAGTGCAGGGTGTGGACAAGGAGCCTGAGGGCCAGAGCAATCCGTGGCCTCGGCCCCAGCACTTAGTGTTAATGCAGGGAGTATCTGGAGCTTATCCTTGGAGCCAGAGGGAGAGGGGCAATCCCTAGAGGGATGACCAGGGGAGACCAGAGAGGCTGTGAATCTTGAGACTCAGCGTGTCCACACCCACACCTGCCCACCCTTCATAGCTGACCTCTGGTCCCCTGGGCACCCCACGTGTGCGCACACATGTGCATCTTTGCCCACTCACGAGTCCCGACACCCTCCCTTAGTCACACACAATGACCTCTCAGTGGGGGACAGGGGGAGCCTTGGCTGCCTCTCCCATATTCACTGAGCCATTTCTCCACCCTCCCTGGCCTGGGGACCACTTCCCATCATGGCTGCTTTATTCTCAGGCCAGTGTGTAGCACCTTCCCCTACATAGCCACTGCCTCATCTCACGGGACCTCAGCTGTGGCCTTGAGGCCCGCCCATATGAGTAGGTCAGGAGAGAGCATTCATTAATAATAACCATGTTCAGCCTTTTTTTTAAAACCAAAGGTCTACAAAATCCTATCCCCTCTTGGTACATCAATCCCCCCTTTTCCGCCCCAATCACATTCCCCAGTTGAGTGTCAGGATCCCCTAAGCCAGTGGTTGGTAAACTCATTAGTCAACAGAGCCAAGTATCAACAGTACAACGATTGCCATTTCTTTGGAGAGCCACATTGTTTAAACTTAAACTTCTTCTAACGCCACTTCTTCAACATAAACTCGCCCAGGCCGTGGTGTGTTGAGGAAGAGCCACACTCAAGGGGCCAAAGAGCTGCATGTGGCTCGCGAGCTGCAGTTTGCCGACCACGGGCCCTAAGGTGTGGCTAGCAATGAGTGGCAAGTCTAGGCGCCAGATGGCTGCCTCCAGGTGTGAGTTGGTACACACAGACACATCCTGGCAGGCCCTCCCCAGCCACACATCCAAAGTCCCTTCCCCACCAATTGCCCCAATGGCCCTCCCATGCCAACAGGCAGCTGAGCCAGGCCCAGCCCTTCCTGAAGTCACGCCCGGGCCTCTATACTCAAACATTTACAATGGTTCATGACAGGACTCCTGACCTGGCCTTGATAAAGGGACAGGCACCGGTGGTGAGTTTGCTAAGATGTGGCCAGAAGGACTCCCTTTGGACTCTTTCATTCTGATTAACCATGCCCCAAACAGATTACAGCAGTTGCTTAATTTTTTAAAATATATTTTTATTGATTTCTGAGAGAAAGGGAGAGGAGAGATAGAAACATTAACGCTGAAAGAGAATCCTGCATGCCCCTTACCGGGGATCAAGCCCACAACCTGGGCATGCGTCCTGACCTGGAATCGAACCGTGACCTCCATGTTCATAGATCGATGCTCAACCACTGAGCCACAGCAGCCAGGCAGCAGTTGCTTTATTTTAATTGGCTTTTGCAACCTTCTGTCCAACTTGGCAAAGCCGGGCCAGGTGAGCCCCCGAGATTGCCTTGGACACACCCTTCTGGAGCCCAGAAAGAACACGCTCATCACACACACTCAAGGGCGGCAGCCCGTCACTGAAGCAGTCCCAGGGACAAGGAAGCCTTGCAAAGGAAAAGCAGCCTGTTTGCTCCTTCCTCAGGAAGTTCATAGATTTACAGCCAAGTCTCCCCACTCGGGTTTCTGGGAAAAGTGTATTGGCATTTTTTTCTTGGCTATTGCACACTGGGCATGGTCTCCACGCTAGGAACAGTACCAGCCCTGCCAGTCCCCAGCCTTCCTGCAACCATAGGCAAGGGCCTTCTGGGCAATTCCTAAAGCACACGGCAGCTCACAGCCTAGGCCAGACCCCGGAAGCCCTGCTCTGAGCCCTCCCCAGTAGGCACTTCTAGGCTGACTCCCAGGGCTGGGAGCCAGGGCCCAGGGAGCTCAGGAAACTGATACGAGGCCTTGCAACTGGACATGGCCAGGATGAGAGGGGGGCTGATGCCCTGAAAAGCCCGGACTCGCCGTGCGTGGGTCAGCTCAACGCAACGTCCTGCTTACATTGGCACACATGCCTGCACACAGGCTAGGGGGCAATCTGCACACAACTTTGGCTTGCTGACATCCACCAAG